ACTACTGTAGATAAATTAAATAAAAGTAAACTGTTATAAATTTAAATAAAGTTCATAAACTAAGTAATGTCGATTTTGAAAATAGCTACTAACTGTCACTAGCAACTTGCCATGGCGATACCAGCCATCTTGATTGCCATTTTATTAAAAAATCGCTTTTTATTCAAAATCTGAGCCAGATAGGTATATGAAACCCTAATATAGTTTGAAAGAGCATTTAAATCTGTTTCGACTTATTTTAAAAAATACAGGGTGTTGCATTTGAAATAACGAAGTTTTTATGTAAAATAAATATTTAAAATAGACCAGCACTTTTTGATACCCCTGTATACATTTAAGGATGCAATAATTGTTTTTAGTAAAGTTTATTTCTCTGGCTTCAAAGTCAGCAAAAGAATTAACTCTGCAAAGTAATGTACAGGGTGTTGACAAACTTTTTTATTATAGCATGTACAATATTTAAATATCTCAAAAACCAAAGCATTTAAACATATTAAACCCTTAGAATAAATGCCTTATTTTATGCCCAAGAATACAAAAATGAAATAAAATACCGGGTGTTCCGCAAAAAAAAACACTAAATCACCACAATACACCAAAACACTGTTACTTTTACGCTGGACGCGCGTTTCGCTAACCATGTTAGCATCAGCAGCAGATGATTATAATCTCTTTGAGTTTATACCTATACCTATCTCTTTGAGTTTATAATCATCTGCTGATGATGCTAACATGGTTAGCGAAACGCGCGTCCAGCGTAAAAGTGTTTTGGTGTATTGGGTGATTTAGTGTTTTTATTTTGCTGTGTAACACCAAAGGTTCCAACCCTCAACTGTAACCGGGTGTTCCATAAGAAAAAATATAACTTTGGTATGGATCTTAGTGGACCTTAGTTCTGACACACCCTGTACCTTTCAATAATTTTATATTATGCACATTGCCTCTCTACATATATTCATACAAATTTTTGTTTCTACATCTTTCCGTTTTCGTATAATCAACCGAGGCGAATGAGGTCGCCACCCTGTATACAAAAAATGCTGATGAATGAAGACATTTTCAATATAAAGAAAAAGAAAAGAAAATATTCAATATAAGAAATAGAAATATATAATAAAAAGTATTAATATTTATTATTAAAAAATAATAATAGGTAGGTATACTATAAATACAGAATTACTGGAGTAAATTTTTCCTCGGAGCATTTTTTTTTCTGTTAAAAAAATAAAAGTTAAACATTAAGTTATATTACGGAAAGTTTATTTTAAATCCAAGCCCGCAACAACGCTAACAACAGACATATCAGGATGGTACAATAAAGTTGGTATAAAAAACACATAATAATGCAAATGAAACTGAAGAGGAAATACAAACGACACACACGCATTTTAAGTAGTACTTAAGTAAGACTTGTACCTATGTAAAATAATTGAATTTTCATGTTCATCTGAAAATAAAAACGAAGATACCTATCCCATTTAAACAATAACGTGCAAACACAAATACTGTAATATTGGTAATGGCAAGTATTTATTAAAAAAGAATTATTTAATAAAGCTTGTATCCTAAATATTCAATTTTATTTTAATAGTAGTTCTTTAGATTTATTTTTTTAATTTCAATGGAAGTTCTTGTAGGTATTTCAACCTTGGATGTAATAGATATGATTGCATATTATTATACATACCTATTCCTTTTAATAATAACATGCAAATAATGTATGTAAAATAAATCTGCATTTCCTGTTATTATTGAATAAAATATAAACTTTATTTCCTATAATTCTTTGATTATCAATACAGTATCTATTGGGAATATCTTATTAGATACCTACGAGAAATTAATTTTATTTCTTTAATAAACTTTAAATTAAATCACTTGATTTTAAGACTAATTAAATTTGACCAACAACTTACAACAAAAGTTGAGTCAACTCTAGACTAAAATTTGGACATATAACAGCAATAGTAATTAAAAATTCTAGTAAGTAATTACAAAACTTGTGTAATTAATAAAATTAAAGAAAACCAAAAGGAACTTTAACATTAATTAAAAACAGCAATAATTGTTATGTCACTTTGTACCAAACAAACATTGAAATGTATTAAAGCCAAGTCAATGACACCGATATTTACAAAGCGTGGACAAAATTTATTATAAAAGGTTCATACAGTGCCTTCTATTAAAAGATCAGCCTACGGGCGGACTTTTGTTTACTTCATCAGCTGTACATACTTAGATATTGGGTTAGATTCCGTTTCATATTTTGTCGGTTGATTTTTGGTTTTAACTCTTTGATTTTTGGTATTATTTATTATTGTAGTGCAAAAAACTGATTATTTTGGTGTTTAAGTGACATAAACTACTACCAGATATATGGTCACTCTCGGTTTCGCATAAAAAAATAGAAAAATTGAAAAATTACACGTTGTGTAAGTGATTTAACCTAAAAGTGCCCATACATTTTCTACTCATCGTGATTTTTGTGTGTGTTTTTTAAGACTCTAACAATTCATCAATAAAGCTTAAGTGGAGTGTGTTTTTGGTGCTATGCCTCATCTTTGTTGTGTTCCTGGTGGAAAGGATAGTTATGCTAGGCAGCCTAAAGTGTCCGGAAGAGCAAGAAAAGTGGGTACGAGTTATAAATCAAGAGAATTCTATTGAAAATATCTTTAATAAATTTAAAAATAATATTCTCCCATGATAGTATTAATGAAAACTGGACAATTATGTTTATTTTATTCATATTGTGGAATCTCCACTCCAAGTGTTGTTGGTTCAGCTTCGATAGATTCAAACACGTAACTAGGTATTATGATCTAGGGAAAAATAAAGAATATGTGTATTAAAGATCATGAAAAAGATTATTACTTTGAGTTCATTTTAAAAAAGATTTTTGTAAAGACAAGACAGATACAGTTTAAAAGAAGAATGTGTTTTTGTTTGATAATATATAATGTATGTCAAGCATAACATATATTTGTTCAGTAATTTTTAATGAAAGGTGTTGATTATTTATAATACCAAATTAATATCAAATATTTAAGTGATGGCTGAATAGAATATGAATAAAATAACAATAAAATTGGTATATTTGCATAATACAAAATTAAGTTTTAAGAATAAAGGTGTTACTAAAAATACAAAGAAATTCATATTTCTTTGTTTTAATTGGTCTAATGTTATTTACATTTTACGTAAGAATTATACCGTATCACCGAAAAAAATCGGCGTCTAGTTGGCTTGGAAATGAACATCGATGACATTCCCTAAATAACTGTACATATAAAATAATTAACTAGAATTTTACAATCTTGGAAAATTTGATATTCTTGAACCTTGTTTCTAAATATTCTAAATTTTTTGATTTTCTTGGAATTTAGGTTCGGGAAAAACGCTGATTAAGTTTTCATTTCGTTTTTCATTATTTTTATTTGGTTTAAGAAAAACGTTTCGGCTAACATTATAGCCTTCATCAGTGCTGTGTCATATGAAAAAAATAGTGTCGAATATAATCCAAAAAATTACATATAAAATATTCACACCACGCACATAATGTTTACTGCGTACTCCATAGTCAATGTAGATAATTTTAGTGTTAAGAATAATAATTTTAAAAAATATGTGGTCATCTTTTGATAAGTTTATATTAGTTTATTATTTGCAGTAAACATTATAAGGTGTGAATTATATTGTATCTGTAATTTTTTGGATTATATTCGACACTATTTTTCTCATATGACACAACACTGAGAAGGCTATAGTTAGCCGAAACGTTTTTTTAAACCAAATAAAAAAAATGAAAACCCAAAATGAAAACTTAAATCAGCGTTTTTTCGCGAACCTAAAAATCCCAAGAAAATCAAAAATTTTAGAATAATTTTACATATAAAATGCCAGCGATCTTCATTTCATAGCCATCGCTGACGCCTTCTTTTAGATAATATTGTATTATTTGTAAATATAATTTTTCGAACACTGATACTTGCAAAATATACATATAAATTTTGTGAATGCAAATAATAATACATCACTATTAGTAGATATTGAATGTTTTTCGTTAAATTAGATCGATTTTCAAACCCCAAAATTTAAAATATATTTACATTTTACCCGTTATCTTATGTACCTATACATTATTTGTACATTGTAAAACATTTGCTGCATTTGTATGGTTCATAGTTTATTTGCCAAAGTATTTATTACTATAAATAGGTATATATGTTGTAGTTATTAACTGTATATTATGTATATTTCATGTAAACTATATCATTTTTAAAATACAAACCAAAAATCTGAGGAATAATTCTGTTTTCCATGTATTCTACAACATATTTATTAATCCGTTATATCTAACTAGCGTGACGTCATAAATCTCGCCCGGAGGCTGATCTTTTAATAGAAGGCACTGGTTCATATGAATTTTTGAATATTATTCCTTTCTGAATATTTTGTATCCAAGTCATTTTAAAAATCGGGCGTTAAAAATAGAAATACTGGTTTCATTTTGCTCTCCCATGGCCTTCAAATTAAAATCAAAGATCACACGGTGCCACATTATTTTAATTCGATATACAATAGCTAAATATGTTTCATCTAAATAATTACAAGTCATTGATTATTAGATTATACGTAAAAGCAATTTAAACAGCTTAGGCAGAGCAAACAGTAAAATAACATTAGGAAATTGGAAACCCAAAGCGTTGTAATAGGACAATTTTCCAATCTCACGACAAATATTTTCAAAATATGTAATGCTTCCAGCTGACTCAAGGTCATGCGTCGTACATTGACTTATTTAGCGAATCTTGAAAGGTAGGTAATGCTTTAAGCTTTTGAATAGATTCATTTTTACAGAATGTATTTGAGTTATTTAAAAAGAAAGAAAAGTATTTCGCTCACACCTGATGCTAAAAGTGAGTGCATTACTTAAAACATTACGCAATGATCGCAATCTACAGATCACTAAAAATAAAAAATAAACTTTTTAAAAAACTTACCTTATCTATGTAGAAAATAACTCCTTATTAGAATTATCCTAGGAAACGGAACGGTTTACTGAGACGAATAATCTCCCATTGCTGGCTGAAAAACACAAAACACCTGGTCAGTGATGAAAGTGGCGTAATTTTTCCGATAAAAAAAGCTAATCAGATGACTGACGTGTAGGTTGTTATCGATTAGATCGAGGAATGCACTAGTACACGAACGTTACCGTATCTCGAGAAAAACTGAGAAAATCGTGGAATTATTGAACTAGGCTTGAGAGCGATTCAGACTGGCTCACGTTCGAGGTTCGATGTTCTATCGCGGTCTAGAAGGAGCTGTCGCTGAACGAATCCGCGCTCGACCGTTTGCCTCTGCCCGACAGATAAAAGAGCGGAGGCAAATAAAATTTTACAGTGGCGGGGACAGCGTCCCGTTTTTTTTTGGTACAATTTTTATCCATTATAGAGAAAAAACGGTTTTAGTACTTGTGATACCTATTCGATATCGCGTATTTTGTGGTATGAACATAATATAGAGTCTATCCAACGCGAGTCAAGGAAGATTTCGACAGACGACATCCGAAAAATGACAGAGTATACAATTTGTCTGTGAATTAAAATCACAGACACAAGTATTGTCACTGTCAGGGATCAATTTTTAATTAATTTAAATGTCCAAGATACGAGGACTCCTCCCGTTGGACAGACTAGTCATATCCCGTTTATTCGAGATCCCGTTTTCAAATCCCGGGATAAGAATCTATAATCTCGGAAATCCGGGATTCACTATCAGAATAATAAATTTAATCTAAAGAAACACTTAATAAAAATGCAGCTACATAATATATATCAAAAATAAAATAAGAAAGGAGCTTTATTAAAATATTTGTTGCAAAAAAATAGCAAACAGATACAGGGTGGTCCGAACTGTATGCCGGAAACTTCGGCAGCATATTCTGCAGATAAGAATATGCAAAAAAGTTCGTATAAATGTATGTCCTAAACTGCTTAGTTTCGAAGATACAGGGTGTAGAGTTTTCATTGTTATTTCTATTTTTCTAAATAATTTTTGAACTAACGTCAATATTTAGATGAAAATTAGTGTCTGGGAGTTTTTTGACATTACAAATTTGATTTTGATGTCAACATGGCACCTATTTGTAGGGGGCGCCACCTACATGTGTTTAACTGTTTTAAAGAGTAATAAGTTTTCGTCCGTACCTGTATGAAACTGCTGAGTGACAAAATATATATTTCCGTGACTTTTTAGGTAAAAAATATCTCTTGGTGAAAATCGCTACGAGCAACCGTTCTCAAGATATTTACAATAGAAATTAAAAAAAAAACAGTTTAAAAGTTTAAAGTTTTATTTTTTTTTTGTATTGACAAAAAAATAAACATGTTGATAGTTATTTGACTGAAATTATAAATTTTGGAACTTTTTATTTTTTTTTAATTAATCATAAATTTTTCTTTGAAAAAATAATGATAAAACAGTTTCTGTGGAACTTTTGGTCCAAAAACATTCCAAATTTATGACTTCAGTCTAATAACTATTTAGTCAACATGTTCAATTTATGTCATTAATGACAGGTATTGATAATTTCGATTCCAAATATCTCGAGAACCATTACTCGTAGCGAATTTTTCCAAGAGATTTTTTTTACGTAAAAAACGTCGTAAATGTATATTTTTTTACTCAGTATTTTTATACAGGTACGGACAAAAAGTTGTTACTCTTCAAACCAGTTAAAAAATATGTAGGTGGCGCCCTCTACAAGTAGGAACCATATTGATATCAAAATCAAATTTCTCATGTTAAAAAACTACCAGACACCAATTTTTTATCTAAATATCGACGCTACTTCAGAAATTATTTGGAAAAAAATCGAAATAAAAATGAAACTTCTACACCCTGTATCTCCGAACATAAGCATTCTAGGATATACATATGTTTATATAAACTTTTTTACCTATTTTCATCTGCAGAATATGCTGCGAAGTTTCCGGAATACAGTTCGGACCACCCTGTATAAGTTTTAGATATTGACGTTCTGCTTGGTATAAATAAAATATGATCTTTGAAAGACTAAAGTGTATAAAGTGGAATAACTTTAGATTGGGCATTTAAATTTTTCGAGATTTTCGGGATCCCGGGATTTTTGGGACAAACACACACAGGGATCCCGGTTCGGAAACCCTACATACTATCCTATGCAATACGTTTAGAGTAGTACGCATACCCTTTCTGATACGCCTATGGCCAAAACTAGTTTTAAAAAAGAGTATAATAGTAGGTACCCTAGACTCTAGGTACCTATGTAACTCACCGGAAAATTTAAATACACACAACGCCTTTTGCTCTGCCTGTGGTTTAACCGTGGCTAACGTCATATTCAAGACCTGACTGTTTTGACAGTTCTACCGAAGTGGTCGAGAATTAGTAGTCGTAAACAAACCAATTGTTTTCATTAGTTTCGCAACAAATCTGTGTTTTTACGCCTTTACTGTGCCTTGTAGCAGCAATTATAATAAGTACTCAGGAGCTGTCTACATTCTCTTTCCCAACAATATTAACTGTAACTAAGTCACGTCCAAAACCTACAGAAGATGCTGTGCCTACAATTTTTCCAAATCAACCCTCTTATATGACTGTGCATGTTCCCATAAAGAGAAAACATCCCGATGAAAGAAAACAAGATTTGGAAATTCAGGATGAAATAAATATTGAAAATTATTATTATTACTATAAAATGGCAATATATTTTAAAGAAATTAAATGAATTTGTACTTTATTTCAGTATTTTATATAAAAAAATGATATCTTTATCTTTTTATTTACGATTTATGGAGATGGTTACTTGATGAACATCGAACTACAAATTACTTAATGATAATAGTTAATTCTACCTGATATCCACATTTCTTAAATATGTTAGGCAAATTTTTACAATTATTTTTAATTAAACTTTAAAATGTATTCCCTTATCATACACAATACATTTCCTTAACTTGTCGATAAAGTATAGTTTTCAATTTTTTTAATATTTGGAAACTTTATCACAAGGTATATTATTACTAGCTACTAAATACTCGCTAACGCAATTTTAGGACATGCTTTTTATTATCTGTATTTTATTCTGTTCATCTTATGCTGTTGTTTATTTCATATTAATATTCGTGTTTTAGATCTAAATTTTAATGCTTTTCAATTACTTTAACGCGATAAAAAGTTAATGTTATTTTTTAATACCTTTGTGTATAATATTTTTCATATTTATATCTGGCAAAACTATCAATAAATACTATTATTTATGCAAAAACTATATGCAGTACCATATGGCACAATTCAAAAGCCCGACTATTGCGGTGACGTCACAAATAGATGTCTCTGGCCTGTATCTCATGTTGGTTATGGTACCTATTTAACTTACCGGAAAATTTAAGTACACACAACGCCTTTTGCTCTGCCTGTGGTTTAACGACTGACGCGTGCGTTTTACTAGACTATCCAGACTGCCATGCTTATTTAAATAATTTATATGTTTTTGACATCTTTATAAAGCTGAATAACTAGTTAATTATAATGACAGAAACAACCATCAGATTTCAAAAAAATGAGAGTATTTATACTTAATCAAAAATAGCATCTCAGAATAAACATCCCTAAATACTATCCTATTATTATTATGGTTGTGCCGTGTGAAATCCGTTTGTGGGAAAAATCTATACAGGACCAAAAAAAAACTAATAAATTATCAACATTTTCTACTTGAAAACACTCCCTCGTCTAGACTTGACCGTTGAAAATTCGTTCACCTTTTAGATGCATTTAATTCTAGGGGTGGGTTCTGTTCCTAACCCTATCAGACAATATAATATCAGTCTCGACAAAATTAGTTATTTTCCTGGAATTTAAAAAAATACATATTGTTATTATCCACGAGAGAAAGATTTGTAACGCTTCCAAAACATTACGTTAAAATACATTTTCAAGGTTACAAAGTGCGGCATCAGCACCATAAGGCAACCGCATTATTTAACTAGTTTCCTATCGAGAGATAGAGATACAATAAACACATTCAACAATAGCAAAACTGTATTCCATATGTAGATGGAATTACGCAATTTCCATTTTAAATTTAGAATCGCGACATCGCGAAAGGCAGAATGACACTATATTCGGCAGGAGGAACTATTTTTAAAATTGAAGGCAACTTGCCAAAATCACTTTCTAACTATGAAATTTTAAGAACTCATTCTAAGGTGGTTCGCAAAAAATGTTAGCATTTTTTTGTCAAAATATGTATGAAATTACAAATAAAAAACTATTGGAAATTACACCTGGTGAATAGAAAGAAATTAGTTATTATTTAAGGAACTTTAAAGTATTTTTGCATATTTATTAATTCATTTTTTAATAATAACCATTTAATTTCTTATTTATTTTTTTATTAAATAACAACAATAATATAAGGACAGAAAGTAATTTTTGAATTAAAAAATAGTTTGAATTTACTACACTGCGTGGAGAGGTGCCATGCCATAACCATTTTAATCATGAAATATAGGTTTTTACTATACTTTTTGTGAATATTCCTACATTAAATACGTAGAAATTTAAACATTTAAACATTAAACGTTTAAGAACAAATAAACACTTGTCAGATACAACCCTTTGTTTTTACTGATTCGCCTGAATTTCCAGCTAAGCTCTGCTAATAATTAATTAGGTATATTTTATAAATTGATAAAACTTATAAATTAAAATAATATTCTACAAAAAAAAACGATCTAGTAGTATTATATTATTTGCATTTAAATGATAACTAATTTATGTACCCATAAAGCACTTTACTATATACCTAGAAAATTATACTATATATTCTCACACTGAACACTTAACTAACAAAAAATAGGTAGGTCGATATAGGTACTTAAATAATGCGGTTTTATGGACCTTGCCTAATGGGTACCTATTTAAATTATAGTCCCATAGTGGGCCATAAAGAAACAAATCAATAATTTGAAGACAATCTATAAGGTGGTTACAAAACGAATATATTTTAGTATAAAAAGCAGATAACTCATGCTTTGTACTTACCCTTTAACTTAATGTAATATATTTATGTAAATTATCTATGTCCATAAATAATAAAACAAATTAAAAACTACAAAAACCAAACATTTCTTTAAAAATGAAACTGGAAACAAGAAATTCCACAGATGACAGAATTCACCATAGAGTAATGTGAAAATTCTTCTTCCATTTCCTTTTTTAGGCCTCTGATGACAATTTTCACAACCCTTGAATGATATGATTTCGCTGATATCCACTGATCGCTGATACTTTAATATCGACTTGATGGACTTCTGTGGTTATCACTGTTATCTATGATCTGTGGTTGTCTATGGTTGTCATCTCTGGTTGTCATAATTGTCATATGTCATGTCAAAAGTTGTTATTTAAATGTCAAAGATGAAGATGGCTGATAGCTCTACGATTTTGCGAAGAAATAGACCTGGAACAAAAGCCAAGGTATAATTATTTACAGAACATTTCTACTCATATTAACTCAAAAACTTTTACTATTCTTTACATATATTTTTTTTGTTTAACACTCTAGTAAATATCTTTCTTAAGCCACCACCAAATTCGTCTACCAAATCTTATGCCAACAATCATAATACGCCTATCTTATACGTTTTTTAGGATTTTTGTCGATGGCCAGATGAACCTTTTGAAGAAATGGATAGCACGTTAGCGGTGCAGCAATATATTCAGCAATTAATTAGAAAAGATCCAACCAATATTGATTTAATTCTAAAAATGCCTGAAACTCAAGACGAAGGTGTTTGGAAATATGAACATCTAAGGTTTGTCAAACTTAACTTTCTTAGGGAGCGTATTAATGTAAATTGATTATAAAATTTAGGCAATTTTGCATGGAACTAAACGGTTTAGCTGTCCGGTTACAAGGTGAATGTCATCCTGAAACTTGCACACAGATGACAGCAACTGAACAGTGGATATTTCTTTGTGCCGCCCATAAAACTCCTAAAGAATGCCCCGCCATAGATTACACTAGACATACATTAGATGGGGCGGCGTGTTTGTTAAATAGTAATAAATATTTCCCTAGCAGGTATGTCAGTATAAAACATTTTGAAAAAGATCGAATCTGAAAATCTGGTTTTTTTCTTCAGGGTTAGTATAAAAGAATCTTCGGTAGCCAAGCTAGGATCCGTTTGCAGAAGGGTTTATAGAATTTTTTCACATGCTTATTTTCATCACAGGCTTATATTTGACGAATTTGAGAATGAGACATGTCTCTGTAAAAGATTTACTCAGTTTGTTACCAAGTATAACTTAATGTCTAAAGACAATTTGATTGTGCCCATTTTAGAGGACGAGAATACGCCAGGAGAATCTGAAGCATAAGCAGCCATTTTTATGTTGTTGGTTGTATAGTAACCTTTGCTAATTTTATGTATAATGGGTAGTACTAAATGTGATGAGGAGATAAATAATTAATAAAAATAGTTAGCAGGTACCTAGTGCGTTGCAGTGTAGATATTTTAAGTCAAAAACATCTGTTATGAATAATTTAGTAGGTACTATTCGGTACTATTTTAATTTATAAAACAAGACAAGTTCTTTTATACCCTCAAAAAACAATTTAAGTAAGGTATTTTTAGTTTAAGCTCTCTCATAATTATTCATTTAGAGTCATTTGATAAATTTTAATAGATTTATTGTGTTAAAGTATTATAGAAACTAAAATATACTGTGTATTATATTGTATGTGCATATTAGCAATCTCAAGAACGTCAATTTTTACAGTTCAGTTAATCATAAATTATTTGATTACATTATATAAAAATAGCATTGCTCCAATATTATATCTAGTTTGAATATTATTTTGTCGTATTAGGTATATAAATACTTTTTATTATAGACTCGGTGTTTATATTTTTTAAGAAAACACTACGGTAAGAACCAATTAAAGTAAACATTAATTTAGCTTATATTTTCTCTTTCCTTCCACGCATCCTTTAACTGTCTTAACTTTTCTTTTTTACATTCGTAGCTAGTTCTTTTCTTCTCTGTATATCTCTTTATCTGAGCATCAATACTATTATTTCCATTCAATAGATTGTCTAGTTTTGAAACAAGCAGTTGTCTAGCCTTTTTTCTATTCTGCTCTAAAAATCTAGTTTCTTGACATTTTACTACCAAACCTAATAATTTATATCATTTGAATTCTATATAAAATGATAAATAAATTGTACCTGTTGGAACGTGCTTTAAAACAACACAGCTTGATGTTGTGCTGATTTTTGATCCACCAGGGCCTGATCCTCTAACATGTTGCTCTTCTAAGTCGTTATCATTAAGAACAGGCACTTTCGAATGATCTATGTGTTTTTTAAAATTGGAATATTGTCTAAAGATACGTAAATAATCAAGTCTAATTCTGTTTAACATATTATATATAAAACTATTTTCTTAAGTAATAAAACAATGCCTTTCTACAATAGCCATTCTAGAGAAGTCTATATTTTATCACAGATGAGCTTAAAATACTAACCTCAAATTCATCATCTGTTATTTGTTTACTTTGAAAGTTTGAATTCTTTTTATATTTTTAAATACCATTACAAAGTTGTATTTTTCTGTACATTATCTCAGAAAAATTTTATATAGACCAGAACATTAATTTCTATGAAATAAAGTTGAAAAATATTTATCATATCTAAAAAAAACTTATGTTCAATTAATTATAAAATATTTAAATTACATAAAAATAGTATTGATCCAATATAGGTATTTAGGTGAAATAATTATTTTATTAGATGAATTATATAAATCCTTTTTATTACTGAAAGATTCAATATTTATTTACATTTTTTAAGAGAAAACAATACGGCAAGAACCAATAAACATTAAATTAGCTTATTTTTTCTCTTTCCTTCCATGCATCCTTTAACTGTCTCAACTTTTCTTTTTTACCTTCGTAACTAGTTCTTTTCTTCTCTGCATATCTCTTCATCTGGGCATCAATACTATCAGTTCCATTCAATAAATTATCTAGTTTTGAAACCAGTAGTAGTCTGGCTTTTTTTCTATTTTGCTCTAAAATTCTAGTTTCTTGACATTTCACTACCAAACCTAATAATTCATTTTTATAAATAATATAGGTATAAGATGATAAAGAAATTGTACCTGTTGGAATATGCTTTAACACAACACAGCTGGATGTTTTGTTGATCTTTTGTCCGCCGGGACCTGATCCTTTAACATGTTGCTCTTCTAAATCATTATCGTTTAGAACAGGTACTTTCGAATAATCTAATAGTTTTTTAAAACTGGAGTATTGTCTAAAGCTACGTAAGTAATCAAGTCTTACTCTATTTAACATACTATAAAACTGTCTTCTTAAGTAATAAAACTATGCCTTTCTACAATAACCATTTTAGAAGTTTATATTTTAGTATGCTTAAAATACTGAGGATACAAAAAATACTAACCTCAAACTTATAATTTATGTTATCTGTTGTCGTAATTTGTTTACTTTGCTTAAACTCTCTTTTAATACGGCTGCAAAAGTATTCTCTGTCTGTAAATTTTAATTGTTGCCCGTATCTCAAAAGATTTTTATATAAATTTAAAATCTCCAATTTTTTAGGCACACTCATTTTTAAGAATCAGTTTGAAAAATATCGATATCGATATTTAAGAAAAAATATCGATAATTATAATCGGATATAAATTAGGTAATTTGAAAGAAAATCTAATTCATTTAATGTAAGAATAATTGTTATTAAAATCAAAATCAATATCAAACATCTATCGTATGTTACAAAAATAGTTTACTGATGTATTTTAAACTTATTGTTATTTCCTATTACAATCATATATCGATATATTTTTTCATATTACCCATCCCTAGCCTCTTCTTTTTTAAATATAGACATAATAACACCACCATTCTTCTTATCAGTTTTAAGTGTCTTCATTCTTAAGTCTAATAGCCAGTTCCCAGTTCCTTGAGCCAGTTACATGTTTGAATACCAGGGTTGGAACAGAAAAATCTGACATTTACTCTATATCTATGTAACAAAATAAATATAAATTACCACATTTATTATGTATAGAAATTACATTTGATGCAACAAATCCAACAGTCCCGTTTAAATTCTGAGATATAAAAGAATCCATATTTCTGTAACCTACAGTAGCAAAACATAAAAAAATAATATTTTCAGTAGAATAGAGTTTATAACTTATAACAGATGGATCAAAGATATGGAGGAAATACCCCTCCATCTCTGATATGCTATACCAGTAATTTTCCGTTACACCCGCAATTTTTAAATTAATTTTGGTATCTATAGAAACATTATGACGACCACCTATTGACAAAATATATTCTAATTTTACAAATAACTTGAAATATCTGATAATTATTTTTATAATGTCCCTATCTAAGCATTCGCCAATCCACACTCAATTAAAATCAAAATCGTTAGTTGTTATACCTCCGCCACCAGCTAGGTAAAATGATTTTATAGAATTTATTAAATTTTATAACATTAATAACACTTTTTTAACCAGATACACTTTAACAGAATGGCATTTGAACAACGCATATCGAGAAAGATGCTGTCTGGATCAGCAACAACTAGCAGATTCAATTACTGCCGAATGTGAACGAGTATTACAAAAATTCTTACATTTTTTTTAACAACAAGGCATTTAATCTATATTATATTTCAGATAAAAGATGAAGTTGACGAAAGAGTTGAGCTTAATAGAAAAGATACTGACCGCAAATTGGAAGAGCGAAAGTTGGACATAGAATTCAATACTGGAGAAATAAAAAAGCAGAGAAAGGAAGTTTGTATTGAAGTGGATAATTTAAAAACCTATATGGAAAGAATAAAAGACTGTTTGGAGTCGTTGAAAAAAAACGCACAAGTTATGTGTCAGAAGTGTATTATACTTAGAGAACAACGCATCGGCATTGACTTGGTATAGTATTTTTATTTTAGTGCCTAAAGAAGGAAATTATAGTACATAATCCCAATCAGAATCTATACTAATATATAAAATCCTTAAGTGACTGACTCACTGATTAATCACGATCCTGCTCAAACCACTCAACGTAAGAAGCTCAGTTTTGGCATACATGTTGATTCTAGGGGGTAGAGGTTTGATAAGAAGGGATTTTTTGAAATTCCAGTTCCAATAAGGGGGTGAAACCACTCCTCAAATATTACAATATTTTTTATTTAAAAAACGGTCAAGTTTCCGAAAAAACGCTTAAACACGTTTTTTATTTTGTTTTTTTACATATTTTCAAATTGTGTAATTTATTATTAGGTACAACAATTATTAGGTAATCCAAAGGATAAAACACCTCTACTGGAAAGGTCGGGTATTTATGAAATTTCTTGCAAAGATTGTAATCAGAAATATGTTGGGCAAACTAGAAGATCAATATTAACTAGATTTGAAGAACATTTAGCTCAGATAAGATATGGTAGACCGGATAAATCTTGCGTTGCCGAACATATTGTTGATAAAGAACATTGTATAGATCTTAATAACTTGAAATTAATTAAACAAGTCTCAAATTACAGGCAATTAGATGCATATGAAAGCATCAGAATTAATAAATGTAAAGATAGTATGAACAGAGCATTAACGGTCCAATTCCTTCAAGTTCTTTGTTCCTACTACTCTAGTGGCGGAAATCTAACTGTTACGCCCGGTGGGTTCTGTACTCGGTTGGCTAGATCTTGCCATGCCCACTCTGTGCCCACTGAGCGGGTATATAAACGCTCCAATTGTAGATTGTATTTTAGTTTATAATCATCTGCTGATGATGCTAACATGGTTAGCGAAACGCGCGTCCAGTGTAAAAGTAAAAGTGTTTTGGTGTATTGTGGTGATTTAGTGTTTTATTTAGCTGTGTAACACCAAAGGTTCCAACCCTCAACTGTAATATTACCAAGTTATATAATAATATCGGCATATTGTTTTTTCTCATACTGACATAAATGGTGAGAAAATTTTATCCAGTTTGTATGTTAATGGAAATTCTTGCTTTGTTTTATCATCACCAGTATAAATGATTAATTCGACGCGAACGAAGTAGTCCTTTTATATTTTACTATGAATTTTAATGTTTCTTAATATATCTCAAGATAAAGGAACATTTCTTATATAAAAAAACTCGAGTATTAATTATATGGACAAATTTACAGAAAATCAAAAGTTTTCATTTAATGTGAAAAAATATCTTCATCAAGTTTTCTCTGATCAAACTAAACTATTATTAATTAAAATATTTGTACGTATTTAAAATTAAAAAAACACGCTATGATAATTAAAACTTTGTGTATGTCTTGCATTCTAAATAAGTTCGTAAATAGATTTTACTCTTTTAGTGTTGCGACGATGTAGAAATGGAGTTGAAAAAAGAACTACAAGTAATAGAAGGTACTCAAAAAATGCTGGGCAAAGCTTTGCAGCAGGCCAACGAGCAGGTCAGGCGATTGAAATCAACCATGTACTTTATGGATAGAGATTTGGAAGACAAAGGCAACGTTTACAAAATAGATACTCACAATAGTAACTTGAAACATACTAGTATGAATCTTAGTCTCTATCATGGTTTCACGCCTTTAAATAGAGGGTACGTAATTTTTTAATAATTTTGCAAACAATGCCAGAATTAAAAATGGTATTATCTAACAAACTTAAATTATTAATAATTGTTCTTAGTACCGAACATTTTAGCATTACTCTATTACTCTATTCTCAATACCTATGGTAATCGCAAAACCATTTCCGACGCACGTGACACGTGATCAACTTTGAGTGACAAGCGATGGCGACAGCGCTGCCAGATTGTGATGGATTTATTAGATGAATCTTAATTTAAAATTGACAAACAATTATATAATTTTTTAAAGTTTAAAGAGTTTTACGTTTTATTTTTAATTTAACTTTGAAAATGGTATAATGTGCTTATCAATCAAACTTACTTTTCTGACTGGAGTCAAGGGTAATAAAGAACCTTTATTGTCACGTTCTTGTTCAAAATAGTTAAAAAAAAACAGGGAAGCTACAAGCTCTTTGCTTCAACTGTTTAAATGCTTCAGCATATTTTCAACACACAATTTCAAGAAATGCAATACAAAAACTCGAAAATTTAGTTTTTAAAAGAACTGCTTGTGCTTAAAAGTGCAATTAAAAAAAAAACTATGAAAATAGGCAAAAAAACGAGAATTACTCGCAAAGATTCAACAACACGATATACAAAATAATGACTGACACTAGGATAATTGTCAAATAATAAAGGACAACTATGCGTATAGTTTTGTATGTCTAACGACTATGAACAAATCTACTTAATTAATGTTTGCCGTAGAAACATAACGCTAGAAGAATGGGAAGACTTTACTAGAGTTAACATCGAAAAGGCCTCGAAAGAAATCAATTCGGCGAGACAGTTGCGAGCATACACGGATATTCTTATCAGACAGGCGATCGATGATTTGTTGAGCCAGTTCCACTGTGTCAACGGCGCTTTCAAAAGGCGCATCGAAGAGATCAAAGAAATCAAGACCAAAATGGAAATCGAACATGCCGAGGTAAAATGCGGATAATTAACATTATATTTCTCTCTCTTCAGTCCTGACCCCCATTAGGGAGTTTAGTGGTCAGCGTAACATCATGGATGATTTTTCTCCAACCACCTCTGTCTTTTGTCATCTCGATGACATCGTGCATTGGCTTGCTACAGCTAGTCGTGATCTGGTCTATCCATCGAGTTGGAGAGCGGCCACGTGGTCTACGTCCCTCCACCTTGCCTTGAATTATGAGTCTTTCCATATTGTCCGGAGTTTTCCTCATTATATGTCCAAAATATTTTAGTTGTTTTAGTCGGATTTTACAGGAAAGCCTGTTAGTAATATTAAGTTCATTTATAATGGAAACGTTTGTACGGCGTTCATTCCATGGGATACGGAGCATACGTCTATAACAATACATCTCGGTAGCATCGATCTTCTTACGTTCCGCCTGCCTGAGAGTCCACGATTCGCAGTCATACGTCAATATTGGGAGTACCAAACAGTTGACTAGCCGGTTTTTGGTGGCTCTTGAAATCTGGCGGTCTTTCCAGATCTTGGTCAGTCTCCCAACAGCTACCTTTGCCATGTTGCACCTACGCTTCACCTCTTCTTCCAATGTGCCTGTATTTGTCAATAGTGATCCCAGGTATACGTATGACTTAAAGACTTCAAAGCGGTCGATATGACTTATATTTGGATGGTTGTTATGTTGCCTATCAACTATCATAATTTTGTTTTTTTGCGTATTTAGTTCCAGACCGAGCGGATTGCTTTCGTTTTCTACCCTATTTACTAAATTGATTAACTCTTCTTGACTGTTAGCGAGTAGTGCTGTATCATCTGCAAAGCGTATATTTATTAATTTTTTGGCCATTTATTGAAATGCCTCCTTCCCATGTTTCTAGCTATAGTTTCTAAATATTATATTTATACGAATATAAATTCGGTTTTAATCAAAAAACAGGTCGAAGAGGTATAGGCTTAGTGCATTTCAGTTGGTTTCAACAAATTCCGACCGCAGCGCTTCAACGGCAGAAATCAGAAATTATCAGTATATATTTCACGTCGCCGTCATATTGATCGCATTAAAATAATATTGAAATCGTAGTTTTGTCATAATATTTAAGTATTTTAGTTTTTTGCTAGTGTAGTTATTGAGGCTATAAAACACTAAAGTACGAGGTTTGTGTGATGTAACCTTTGAATAAGAAGACTAAGGAAGGAGCATAATGCTATCCATGTATTCATGCATGGTGGACGGAAAAGCCACCATAAAAGCTCTCTAGGGTGGGGATCCTTGACAGTTCTGTTTGACGATTCATTTGACACATTTGAATTTGATTTGAAATTTTGTGGATTTGTCAGTCTTTACGGAGCTATTTTATGTTATTTATTATTTATTCTACTACTGATAGTTGTATAAAGGTAGTAAATCTAGATGGAAATTGTGGCAGCACTTAAATTAACAGTGACACTATCGCGATTTATCGAAAAAGACTCTAAAATAGTTGGTTGTGTAGCGTGCGGTAGATCTCGGCAAAAATTGAGTGAAATAAATGGAATGAAACTTTTCGCTAGTAAGTGACTATATAATATACATACGTGTAGTAAACCGATCATTTATGAAATTCACTTAAATTAACTAAATTATATATTTTTCTTGCATTTTAGCTTTTATTTATTACTTGTCAAAGATTAGATGTCAAAGAATTTAGATACGTTAATTTGACTTACCTGCTTCAGTAGCGTATCGGATGTTTGTGGTAATAAATACTTATTATAACTTAACTATTTTATTAGAATTATATATTTTTATAACAATTTTAATAACTACCAACATTTATTCACAACGTAAAATAAAACAACAAATTATTGAGTCTACCCCACGTCTACCCTACATCATAGTTTTACATTTTTTAAATAAAATTAGAACGACACTGATAAACCGGAATTTAAGTCGGCCATATTTGAGGCCCATCGCGGTGTACCTAAGATTTTTGATATGCTCCTTCCTTAGTCTTCTTATTAAAAGGATGTAACGCTGTTTCGGGTAGCAAAAAATAAGTGAAAAATAATTTACGAACTAGGCGTCGGACAGCCCTCCTGATGAAGGGTAGGCCCAGAAACCGGTTGAGGGAGTGGAGCTTGGTTACCCCCTTTACGACAAGCAAAACAATTTTCTCTTTACTTTTTATTTTTTTTCTCTACTTTCGATTTTTCGAAATTAGAAAAAAAACACAGCTAAAAAAGGCAAGAAAATATTATTTATTAATATACACTAAAGCTGTAAGAATTTTGTTCATTTCATATAAAATCTTTTAATAGAGAACATTTCCTATTCAGGAGGATTCCAAATTTGAGATTGATGATGGAATTTTATGCAGGTGCAAATAAATTCAATAAGTCAATAATTCAGTTTTCAGGATACCTATTTTAAACTTTTCTACCATCCCATTAATCTGAAGTAAATAAATTTTAGCAGTATTTAAAAAAATACAATGAACAAATAATTTTTACAGATAATGAGACGGGCAAACGAACTAACCAGGACCATAACAGATTTGGAAAAATCTCTGAGCGAAAAGGAAGGCTACGTGGCATTGGCGCACACCAGACTCGGCAACAGGGCACAGAGACCTGGAATGGAACTGTGCAAAGATATGGTCGAAATATCGTTGGTCAATGAGGTCGGCGAGTTGAGAACAAATTTGGCAAGAGTGCAACACATGTTGGCCGAGGTAAACAAAAAATATTTTAAAATATCTGTACAGGGTGGGTCAAATTCGACGCTTTTAAATGGAAACACCCTTTTCTACAGGAGATAGACAAAAACTAATATCGGTGTCTGGAGCTCAATTTTTGTCAAAAACATGATGGTGAAAACCGCATATCGATATCTGTTACCGTTTCGGAGTTACGGGGTGTTTTTCACAAAAATATGCATTTTTAACAAATCGCTGTAACTTTTTTGCTATGGAAAATTTTGTATTTTTATGATAACATTTCCAAAGCACCTTTTTACGTAGAATTTAATGGTTTAAGTATAATTTTTTTAAAATTAATAATTTAAGAATTATCAACAGAAAATTTGATTTTTTATATGGGACACCCTGTATATTTTTAATTTATTGAAAAGAATTTAAAATTACCTTTCCAAAAATATAACACACTTGATATTTTGCTCGATTCCTCTTCGAGATATAGAGTATATAAAAATTCGCCCGCTTTAAATAAGTAGGCTTTGAACGGCACGTAATGCAAAACAAATCTAGCTCTGAGCATCAATTAAAACTAAAATAATATTTGCTATGAGAGATGCAGAATTTTATAACAATTTAAAATATAGTTAACCAACATCAACACATTTAAACTATATCTAATAACAATAAAAATAAATAGCGCAAACTAAGACATGAGATTTTACTACAGGTGTTCGACATATCGACCGTCTTCTGTTATGGACAGACGGGGCAGTTTTAGAACATTTCTCGCGGAATTCATTAACTCAGTGGGGGTGAAAGATACCCTCTCATAGCTGCTAAGTATTTCTAATTCTTGTCTAGATTATACGGAAGAATAAGGAACCTTTATTCTTCCGCAAATATATCCATAGGATTAGATCCATGGGCACTAAGTCAGGCGGCCTCGACGGCCAACGGCCGGGATCTTGGTTAGCTATTCAATTATTCTTGAAATTGGCTGCAAAAATTTGCTGATAACTTCAGCGTTCAGAAGCGGTGCGTCGTCTTGCTGGAAAAATATGTTTTCGAGTTCCATTAAGGGCATATCATCAATAAGGGGTCCAAAGCCTACTAGTAAAAAGTGGCGAACGACCAAAAAATAATTCATGCATTTTTATATCAATTGGAATGTCTACTATTTATTCTTATCAGTACACATTTTTGGCTTATTTCTAACCAAACGGTTTTCTTCAACTTCCGCCGCACTGTGCGCTCGTCCGTCAAACGCAAAAATAACTGTCACTGTCTAAAATCTTTAGCGCTAACTTCAACTCGGTCCCTAGAAAACGTAAAAAAACTGACAGTACAGGAAGATAGGAATCGAACTATCCTTATCTCTATAGTATCCTTGGGTGGCGCCCTCTACAAGTAGGAGTCATATTAACATCAAAATCAAATTTCTTATGTCAAAAAACGTCAGACACCAATTTTCATCCAAATATTGACGTTGCTTTAGAAATTATTTGGAAAAAATCGAAATAAAAATTAAACTTCTACTCCCTTTATCTCCAAAACTAAGCATTTTACGAGATACATTGGCGTAACTACAGAGATGCCCGGGCGTGCATATATTTTATTAACTAGTTGTTTCAGCAGCTTATCTAATTTTTTTACTGTATTGTTATAGATGTCATATTTATATGACATCTGTGACAATTATCTATAATTCTGTCTATCTACAAGGACATCAATAGGCCATTGCCTGGAAACTTACATGGTGAAATTTTGATAAAATAATTGAGTACATACTAAAAACACGGTATGTCGCTAGTGGTAGGAAAAATAATTTTTAGAGGTTAGTAGTTTATTTGGTTGCCTGTGATATGCATATACAGGGTGTTTCCTAATAAATCTAAAAAATAAAAAATCGTTAGAAAACGAATTAAGGCGGGCTCTTAATAAGTATATTTATTTTTTTCTCGACAACCGTTTGATGAACAAGAAAAACTCAAAAGATCAATATTGTTGAAAAAGGATGGCCAGTCAAGAAAAAAATATATTTTCTTTAAAAAAGCAGTGGTGTACCATTTTTGTTAAGCAAAAAAGTCGATTTTTTTTAATTCTTAACACCCTGTAGATCAGAAAGGAAGTACTTTAGACCTAATGGTTATATAAAAATTGTTTTAAGAACACATGAGGAATCACACCATAATTTTTTTAGACTATTCGAAAACACCCTGTATATTGTCAACTTGACAATGACTGCTGATAAATCAAAAAATACCTTTTCAGTGGAAAAAGCCTGATTTTCGCAAGAAAAATTTTGATTTTTATTGAATTTGGGCCTGCGTTTGCAAATACTCGTTTGTTTTTTAATTTTCTATCTAAATTTTAAATATCATAGTCAGAAAAAGTTTTATTATTTATTAACTGTAAAAATGGTGTTTTCTTGTTGTGTTGCATCTTGCAAAGAAACTAACAAAACTGCAAAAATGTACGTGTTTCCAAAAGACGATAAGGTATGTATCTTAGATAAAAGAAAAATATATGGAATGTATTCGTTGTTTGATTTTTTTTCGTTCGCTTTAAAATCTATAAATCTCGGTCTATTCATTAGACAGCCAGTCGACTTATGATCGTTTACATGAAACTCTGTAAAATAAATAAAAAAATATATTGTAAAATATATATTATATTCTTATGTTTTATTAAAGTCATTCTGATATACTAATATATCAGTGTAACTTTAAAAATAAATCCTTTGAATTCAAATATAAACATAAAAAACATTTACAGCAGAAAAGGCGAAGGCGCTGGGTTAAAAACGTAGTCTCCACTAAAAACACGGAGGGGCGCTTTGACCCAAAATTTTACTATTAAGTTTCATATCTATCTTAATAGTAGATTATTTTCTTTTATCTATATGTCAATAGGCCTAAAATATTAATGCATTTTCTATTTATTTTAGGCTCAGGCTTCATTAAGGTATTTATTAAAAACGCAAATTCAGCTTGAAGAAGATATAAATGTGAAGACAAACTCCTTGAAAATTGACGAAGTCGACTGTATGACTATAAGACAGAGCATGGATTATCACGCATTTTAATTGAAAAAAAATATATGTCTCCTTACATTTTATATCAATATAATAAATTTTTTGAGATAAAATATTTTATTTATAGAAATTAGTAAGTACACAGCCTAAACTTAAAATAACATTCTTGGAATGGTACACACTAACATTTAATTAATTAGTAATAATAATAATTATTAATTTAACAATCTTTAATATTTAATAAATAATTAAGAAATAAAATTAAATTAAGCAGAACGCGGTTGATGATCGGATCTAAAAATAGAGGAATATTTTACAAAAAAGACACATTTTTGCTTTTTCTTTTTCAACGTTTTACCCTTGTTTATATATTTTTAAAGTTGGTCAACCGACTAGACAAAATGTGCTGCTAACTGGAGGACAAATCGTGAAGCTTTCGGGGCGGAGTCAAAAATATCGATTATTTTCGTTATTTTCCTCAGAGTAATGTAATAATATAGCCCGGGTATAGTCTATAAAATGAATAACTTTGAATTTTGACCGTTATTTTTTACCAACATGGCAAATATAAAATCCCTCTATCCAAAAAGTTACTGATATTCTTTAAAATGAGTGCCTGAACGAATCAGATAGGTAACTCTTTTTACTTTCGTGATATAGAAAAGGAAAATAATAAAACAAGGATGTAGTTCTTCTCTTCTTGCAAAATTAACGCGAAATGTCATAATTGACAAAAGTAAAATGTCATCAGGCCTTTTATTTCTAAATATCAGACCAATGCCGTCTCTCAATAGAACAGCCTCGGAGCGAGATTTATGACGTCACGCTAGTTAGATACCACGGATTAATAAATATGTTGTAGAATCCATGGAAAACATAATTATTCCTCGTATTTTTGGTTTGTATTTTAAAAATGATATAGTTTACATAAAATATACATAATATACAGTTAATAAATACAATATATATATACCTATTTATAGTAATAAATACTTTGGCAAATATACTATGAACCATACAAATGCAGCAAATGTTTTACAATATACAAATAATGATTAGGCACATAAGATAATGGGTAAAATGTAAAATATATTTTAAATTTTGGGATTTGAAAATCGATCTAATTTAACAAAAAACATTCAATATCTACTAATAGTGATATATTATCATTTGCATTTACAAAATTTATATGTATATTTTGAAAGCATCAATGTTTGAAAAATTTATATTTGCAAATAATACAATATCATAGGAAAAAAGGGGTCAGCGATGGCTATGAAATAAAGATCGCTGTCATTTTATATGTAAAATTATTCTAAAATTTTTGATTTTCTTGGGATTTAGGTTCGGGAAAAACGCTAATTAAGTTTTCATTATTTTTTTTGGTTTCAAAAAAAAACGTCATAGCTAACGTTTATAGCCTTCATCAGTGTTGTGTCATATGAAAAAAATAGTGTCGAATATAATCCAAAAAATTACATATACGAGGATGTTTGTTCTATGTATTCTACAACAGTAGTAGTATCTAACTAGCGTGACGTCATAAATCTCGCTCTAAGGCTGTTCTATTAGAGACGGCATTGCATCAGCATGGCCGCAAGTAGCTAACCTAATAAAATATACACTAGAAAAGCCCGCGGGAACTGTCAAGTTCAAAGTTATTCGTTTCACAGACTATATCTGCGAACTTTAATAGTGATCAGCTGATTAAGAAATTTAAACGAAACTTTTATTTTACTGTAAATTGTGGATTATTTTTGCCTGTTATTTTAAGAATTCTAAACAGTATTAACAAAGAAATTATTATTTCGATATGTTGGAACGCCCCTTTGTTAATGTAATCATTAACGGTCTGTGTTCTATTTGATAAATATAGGCAGCCCAGTTCGGTATACCCTGTACTCCCACAGAATATAACTTCTAGCAATATGTTGGTACATTATTTATAATTTATGGTAAGTTTATGCTAATTGGCTGTTAATTAATATTTAAAAAAAAGTTACATACCTATTTTAATTTGATTTAATGCAGGTTTATAAAAGAATCAATTCATTCTTAGATTATTTTATTCTAAATTGAGTGCTTTACGAATTTTACGATATTTTTTTTTTTGAAAACATAAAACTTTTTACATTTTTGATGCTAACTAATTGGCATGGTATTATTGGTATGGAAATTAGCCAAGAAAGAAAAGAATTGGCTATAACTTGTAATTTTTCGAAAAAAACATATTATACCTATCGCTGAAAAGCTTAAAAAATGGCGCTTTTTATGAAGTCATGGCCAACTATGGTTTACTAAAAAAACATATGTTTGTGTCATATGTCAAAAATGACAGACTTTAGAAAAAAAAACAGAAAACACAAACTCATTAGGTATGTGATTATCTACAACTTTTATCTGAAAACTTTTTGTCTAAAATACAGTATGGTCGAATAAAAACGGCGTCAGGGATGGCTATGAAATGACGATCAATGATATTTCCCATATAATTTTACATATAAAATGACAGCGGTCTTCACTTCATAGCCATCGTTGACGCCGTTTTTATTCGATCATACGGTAGATTATAATGGAATTAGAGACAAGTTTTAAAATAGCCAAAATTTGTTTTTTCGAAATATCTAATAAGCCTTGAACTTCTCCGAAAAATCCGAAAAGCGCATATTTATGACCCCACCAAACTGCAATTCTTTCCCCATTAACCGACTCTCTATATCCAGTAGTTTCCGAGATGCCCATAGAGAACATCGTAGGAAACTCACCCTGTATAGTATTTTGAAACTAACTATTGTTATTATTTGACTGTTTAATTTGATTAATAAGGCTAGATTAATTTAATTTCAAATAAATTTGATCAGTTTTTGTTTTTGTATATTCTGCTACCAGAAAACCAAGATTATATGATAACGCACTTTTCAACGAAGTTGAAGGAAGATATAGTGTATCTATCATAATACTTAATAGAACTACTACAATTATTACAAGAAAAACAAAAAGAAGAAATACCCAAATACCCCTTCATCTACTACTCAACTACAAAATAAACGAATATAATCTCTTAAAAACACTACACAACTACTTATTCTTGTATTCTACACTGAACAAATTTCAAACTCAATACTAATTTATTAGTACCAAAGCACATGCCTCAAATTCTCCCTTCAACCCATTGTGTAACTACATTATGACACTAATAACTATTTTGGTAGATCACACTTAAATGCTGCACTAAACACTATAATTAAACTTAATAAATTAATACTCATCTTTACACTACACCTTCAAAGAAGAAAGAAATATGAACATTTTCTAAAAACTAGGAAGAAACAGAACTTCCATAACTTGTAACTGTTATAATAGCGTCAAGGGGACAAAGAATATTAAAATATTTTAAAATGTGCATTCAGGAAAGAAAATAATACCGAAAATTATCTAAACAAACATTTTTATTTCTTATCAGTGAGAAGCATCGGGCTTTGTCGGCCTGAAGAAATTTTGTCGATATAATACAATGGTCGAGATTGTATAATTGCCAGCTTTTATAGCGCATTAGTAAGTACACAAAAGTAACTTAAAATAGTATTCTTGGAATGGTACACACTAACATTTAATTAATTAACAATATTTAATAAATAATTAAGAAATAAAATTAAATTAAGCAGAACGCGGTTGATGATCGGATCTAAAAATAGAAGAATATTTTACGAAAAATACACATTTTTGCTTTTTCTTTGCATTTCCGTTTTACCTACCTTCCGCCGTTTCTGTCATCTCTTTCTGGCACCGGTAGATTTTCGTTCGGATTTTTCCTGTGGTTTTTCGGCAAACGCCTTTGATTTAGAAGTGGAGGAGTCCAGCTAAATTCTGAAATATCATTAAAGACTCTCAAAACTTGTATACCATGCTGGCAACTCTTACTTTTGGGTCGGTATTTACATGTGTGGAAGTAAATCGCACAGGGATCTTATTAAGTCGGAGTGAAAGAAATGCGACGGTGTGCTGTGTTGCGGCGTTGCCACATTTCCCCGGTACGCCTTTCCCTATCGAGTAAAGTAAAATCACGATCGCAAACCGCTTATTTTTAAAAAGATTTATTAATCCCTAGTATCTAACTAGAGTGACATCATAAATCTCGCTCCGAGGCTGTTCTATTAGAGACGGCATTGCGTCAGCATGGCCGCAAGTTGCTAACCTAATAAAATTAACACTAGAAAAGCCCGCGGGAACTGTCAAATTCAAAGTTATTCGTTTCACAGACTATAATCGTGATTATTTAACTCAACTTTTAAAAACACATAACACGCGATAACTCAAGAATCCCGTTAGATATTAAAACTTCTTTTTTTATTTTGAATTCGGATCTTTTATAAGAAATATTCTTTTCATTCAAAAATTTAAAAAAAACATCCATTTACTTTTAGTGCATAGCAATTTTCAGCAATCGGGTAACTTTTTTATTTATAAAGATTTTCACATACTGTCTGCGAAGAAAATATAGCAGAAATATTAAGAAAGTTTTTGAAAAAAACTACAATCATTTCTAATGGATTTCGAGATACCGATTTTTGAATTCTAATAGCGCGACCACTGTCGAACACCAACTCAATTCCACTTATTTTTACCAAAAGCACAAGTGTTTCTAATTTGCGCTTAAAATTTACAAGATATAGGGAAAATTACAACGACTCGTTAACCGCGACGAATCTGCTGTATTCCCTTCTACGTCTCTTGGCAATGTGCACAGCTTCTCGGTTCATTTCATACGTTTGGCAACGTTTTTACTGTCCTCTCTTTGTTCAGTACATTATATACTCTTCTTACATACGGAAGTATCGACCCAAAACTAACCTTTGCCAGCTTTTAGTATAAGAAAATTTATGTTTTTTTTTCTCTATTCAACACATTCGCAATTCGACTAACTTCAAAATATAGTTTTGTTAATAATAATAAGTAATAAGAGTTCTATGAGTGAGAGTATTTTATATTTAAACATGTTAAAGAAATTTAAATGTCACTGATTATCCAGAATTCAAGCTATATCAAAACCCAATCGCCGTACGAATACTCTAAATAACTTAGTTAAATAAAAAATAAAAACTTACCAGTTGGTGTTGGCTGCAAACAATTGTCTAAACTGTCACTCAGTGGAGGAGGTGGAGGGAAGGGCGTTTGGAATAACGGACTAGGTTGACCTGCTTTGGCATGATGTTTTCGCCTCTCCTTCTGAGCTACCGACGCCTTCTTCCGGTTCTGATCGTGCTCTGGATAACAATTTATAGAACGCAGGAAGGATTCTAAAGGACCCATCGGAGACTCCTGAAAGAAAAATTAAACTCCATGAATTTAGTGCCGAAACAAACTCAAGAGGGCGCTTCTTTTACTTATACATGTAAGTCAAAATTGGTGGCGCTGTTTTGTAATAAACAATACTGATTGATCTAAAACACGCCCTTTTAAACGGATATTATATAAGTAAAGAAGACGTAACCTTGAGCGATCGGTCTACAGACTATACATACTTTGGTATTTAGTGGTACTGTTTCAGTCCATGGCTCGTTGGGTGATGCGGTATCGCTTGAAGGTGAAGCATCAAATAGAGGTCTAAATCTGTGCTTGTTTTTCTGTCTGTCGTTCGAAGTAGGAACCGTGTCGTCTTTTTGTCGAGAAAGGGTGGGGCCGAGCATAGTCAAGTCTAGATTTGTAGGAGGAGCAGCAATATCAAGCAACATCGTAGAATTTGTCGGCGCAAAACCTTCAAACAAAAAAAATAATATATATTTTTTTAACCAACTTATTAATTAGTTTTTATTTTTTATGTATAGTACAAATAATAATATACACTCACAAATCACAGAGTGATTACACAGGTCTGGTCATTCTAATCAGTGGACTGTATAAGATAAATGTAAGTAACGTACATTATAACCAGTTTATAGACAGAGATACAATGAAATGAAGGGTTGCCAATTCCTTCATACAGTAGGCATTATTAAAGATTCGCTAGTTAGAATAAATATGATTTGGGCGTACACTATTACATCATTTTTTAAAGATTTTTACGTTTTATTTTTAATTTAATAACTAATATTTTAGTAATTAATTGATTTATTTGTTTTATAGCGTATTTTAGTTATTACATATTGGCAAAAACTAGTCCATTATGAATATTATTCTAAGCGTTATTATGGGTTATTTATTTATTTATTGACGTACATCTTACAACGCCACAAGTAAGAGGATGCTATTTATGCACAAGTTAATAATCACAGAATTTAATTAAAACTAACGTAGAAATAACTTTAAAAGTGGTGTAATGTGCTTATCAATCAAACTTACTTCTCTGACTGCAGTCAAGGATAATAAAGGTCCTTTATTGTCGCGTTCTCGTTCAAAATAGTTTATCAGGGAAGCTACAAGCTCTTTGCTAAGCTGTTTAAATGCTTCGGCATATTTTCAACACACAATTTCAAGAAATGCAATACAAACACTCGAAAATTTAGTTCTTAAAAGAACTGTTTGTGCTTAAAAGTACAATTAAAAAAAAACTCTCAAAGTAGGCAAAAAAAACGAGAATTACTCACAAAGATTCAACAACTGATGACTGACATTAGGATAATTGTCAAATAATAAACGAGAACATTGTTGAAAACGGCGCAATATGACCAACATAGCAATAATAAAATTCGGTTTAAACTAATTTTTGCAGCTTTAATCTAAATAAAATATCTGATGCAATCATAGACTTAAAATAAAATATAGACTGAGCATCTCATTCATAAATAGCTGGAACATGCGGTCAGACACTGTCTTGTTATTGTTGTGTTATTGTTTTAGGTTATAACGAGTGCAACACGAGTGATAGATAGGTTGTCTCTGTCATAACGGTCGTTCCCTGACAACAAACACAACACTGTCTTTCGTTTCTCAAGTACACCTGAACTCTTCGTATCATAGCCGGGTAATTTTTTTATTTTAATGAAGCTATAATTAAATTAAAAATATATCGTATTTAAACTTTTTTATATTTTATTAAGATTTAGGACAGGTTTTTTAAATAAAAGTTTAGAAAAAACGTCTTAGAGTCCAAAAAGGATAAAAATAATAAAATACACGTTATAGAAGAAATTTTATAATCGAAATTAATGTAATTTTTGAAATTAATAATAAATTATTAATTTTAGTCAAACATTTACAACCCCTAATATTAATCAGAACAGGATCTATTCCACAGATATAATAGAATCGGCGACAGGGAGAAAAAAAATATATGATTGTTGTAATTTTTTCTGGTTAAGTGATGTCTTATTATGTAAATTAGAGAAAACATAAATCTATTCCATTAAAGCAAGGAAGGTGATAGGAAGTGGATAAAATGAAAACTACATTTATTTAACTCGGTACTGTCTTTATTATACCGGGTGCGTCCTAAAAGTGGCTCATCCCCCATCATTTTTTATATTTTCAAATAAAAACAAGATTTAGTATGTTAGTACATGACATAAATTAGGATTGATTGACGCATTCAATTGTTTTGGTCACTTCCTGTTTCACCGGAAATGACTATAACTTTTAATTTTTAAACGGCACCCTTGGTATATTTCTACTTTATTCGATAGAAAATGACACTCTGAATAGAATGACACATCATATGTCAACTTTTGACATTCTCGCATATGGTTTAATTGTAATTGTAACACGCGGTTCATAACGACAATTTGACTCGAAATACCAAGTGTGTGGTATCAATATATTCATAAAAAAATGCTTTTTCCAAATATGCTAATGAGTCACCCTTGTTCCATTTGAAAAAATTGACATATGTATGATTAAAAATACGATTTGTACATCTTTTAACCGGCCTAGACAAGACACGAAACCCATTAGACGATCAAAACTATTTTCCAAGGCTCCTTTGATTAAAACTTAGTGTTTTTAACAACACCATGGCGCCCTGGATTGAAATTTAAAATAGGATTTGTTTTAAGCGACAATGTCAAAAGTTGACATATGATATGTCATTCTATTCAGAGTATCATTTTTTATCGAATAAAGTAGCAATATACCGAGGGTGCCTTTAAAATCAAAAGATGTAATCATTTCGGTGAAACAGGAAGAGACCAAAACAATTGAATACGTCAATAAATCCTAATTTATGTCATATACCTACTAACATACAAATCTGTTTTTTTATCTGAAAAAATAAAAAGTTATAGGGGTGAGCCACTTTTTGAGACGACCCGGTATATTAAAAAATATTGTTTCATAATGTAATATCATTTTAAAATTCTTGTATGTTATTTTAGATTCTGAAGATAATTTTAGAATAAACCGGAATATATTTTTAATAAAAACATTATTAATTATTAACAGGGTTATAATTATGATTTTGTTACAATGTAAGTAAGTAAATAATGTAATGTAAGAGAAAAAATTCAGATTTTACATTTTACTAAAATATTTTCTAAATAAGCGTCTTTCTACAACAACGCCACTGACTCCCAATGGGTAAATTGAGAGTTGCCTACCGGTCAAAAGTCGTTTCAAGACTTAAATGGATTATTTAAGACAAATTTCTTGCAAATTTGGCACTGGCGAACCATATTTTATAGTTCTTGAACAGAAAAAGTCAATAAAATAAACACTTAAGCACTACAAGCTAAGAAAATGCGTTAATACAGCCGGGGAGATAGCGGCAACAAAGCTTTACCGCACACGTGCGACACGTACTACAAGGTAATAAATGAATGAATAGGCTCCCTCGCCTCTAATCGGTGTTGTCATATTGTAAAGAACTTATCCTTTTAAACAGTATCCGACTTATAATTTAGTAGTATAAGGACTATTTAATACATCTATGGAATACTAAAACCTACTTTATTAAACTGTAGTATTAATATCTCAATATATGTGTATAACAAGAAAAAAAATATTGATAATATTAAAGACGTGACAACATAGGCTGGATGAGGAAGGCTCGGTCGACTGTACCCAGAAGTAAACATGTGTACAAAAAATATTGTCTGTCCGCGTTGAGATGTAAATAGTGTAGTCTATATTTTATTTTAAGTCTATGGATGCAATCATTTGCTCTACAAAGTAAAATGAAGAGCTGCTCGGTATCTTAAATTATACAACCAATTTAAACATTTTTGTCAAAATTTCATTTACTTTAGTGTCAATGTCGAAATGATTGATGACGTGCATCGGAAAATGTTTTGCGATTACTTTATATTCTCCCTCTAGAGAGACGACTCTATGATATAAAGCTTATTTGTATAAATTGTTATTTTGTTAATGTGTATATCTGACAAAAAACACTATACATGGCGTTCTATTAAAACGAAAGGTAAATTTATTATCTTATATCAAAAATACACGAAGAAAAAAAAGCATAATTAGAATAATAATGAAAACTAACCTTTAACCGACTTTCCATTGCCATTCTTATTAGTGGCCTCATCAAACAAACTCATCAACTTCAATTTCTCTTCAAAACTGTTACTCATTAACGTGGAGGGGGATAATGCTGTAGCTCCAGCAAAACTACTAGCTGTCGAACTAGAATCTCTAAGCATAATTCCCTGATTCATAGAAAATTCAGCATACTCCACATCGTTTTCGCCTGCAATAGAAAGGTTTAAAAAATATTTTAGAAACCTTTCCGATTTTCCTCGCACCATCTCTAAACTACTCTATAGTAAAAATTAAAAAAAAAATAGGCAAATGTAAGAAATATAACGCCAGGTAGGCGAGTGAGAACTATATACAGTGGTTTAAATTAAAATAGGTAAAATTTTAACATTGCGTGAATAGTAATTCTGAGCTAAATAGTTTATCTTCTTTGAGATTGGCAAATACAGGGTGTTTCAAAAAACATGTGAAAAAGCAGATTCATTTTTCATATCAACATAGGTCCGATTCTGCTTTGTTTCGTAGCTACAGGGTGTTAAAGACCTAATATTTTTTCGATTTATTATAATTTTTTCCTAGTACTTTTAGCGTTTATCTCGTCAAGGAGGCCGAATTCGACACAATATCAAGAGATAACTTTTAATTGGCATTAAACCGGCGTATACAATTTTGATATCTAAAGAAAAAAGTCAGTGGCGTACGTGTTTTTTTTTGAAAAATATTCCAGTGATAACCCATATGCACGTCCCTGATGAATTTACCGACACTTTTTTAGTATTAAAATATGTAGCACTTATAGTAACTTTTACCCTCAAAATTTTATTCGAATCCTTAAAAGTACTTGGAAAAAAAATTATAATAAATCAAAAGATTATTCAGACTAGATTATTAACACCCTGTATCTACAAAACAAAGCAGAATCGGACCTATGTTGATATGAAAAATAAATCTAATTTTTACATGAGGAATCTCCCCGCGAGAAATAGCACATTTTTTTGATACACCCTGTATACTCAAAGCGGTTTGCCATTATCTTCCTTAAGATAGCGGCTCTATTTATATAAATATTATTATTTAAATAAATAAATTTGTTAAAATAGTTAAGAGAGAAGCACTCAGCTAAAAAAAAAGAGATATAAAAAATAAAATTTAGCCAAGAATATACCTTTCTCACCTGTCAATACTTATCACGTTAAAATAATATCTTTATCAAAACAGACCAAAGTAAGAAAACAAGAAAAAGTATACGCCGAAAAATGGTTTTTAATATACTTTAATAAAACTGTATAATATAAAAATATGATACGTGTCTTATTTCCGATCTATCCTTGTACTGAAATTCCTTCAAAAGGAGTTGAAGGTTCCGTATCTTTTTCTGCCACTTGACTACCGCGTTCTGGTCTTTGACAATCGAACGAATCGCAGGAAACATTTCCGCAATCACCATGACCTAGGCGTTAAGTTTATTACTGAGTAACTTAATATAAGGGTTACCAAACGTCATAATGGATATAATGCCTATCCCACACCAGCGTGAAAGTTTCGCAAACCCTAAAAATCTTAAAGCTAGGTTTGTTTTGAAGTAAGTATAGTCTTGACAAAAGTCATACAAAATCATATATTTGAAACATTTTATTTTAATAATAATTGTATAAACATTTTTTTCCTTATACAATTATTATTAGCTTCTAAATTAAAATTGGCAGCCTGATTTCTGAATCAATTTCATTTTTTTTTAATTTAATAATAATAGGCTTTCACTATATTTTGGAATTAGCATAATTGAATAAAGCAATTAATTCTAGAATTTTCTGCTATCTCACTTTCGAAAAATTTGAAGTCGTTCTTAAGAAAATAAATAAAAACAAAAAAGTCCAGAATAAAAATCCGCACTTTATTTTTAATACGTCACACCTGGCATGTTGAAAAGCGGCAACACGGCAGCGGCCGGGCCACCATGCTGGCCCACCACCACCTCCACACAAGGCCATTCAACTTTTTCCAATATGGCGGAGATAGAAGTGCTTTATTTGGCGCGTATTTTAAAACCTGTTTTATTTCCAAATAGACATTTTTCACACAAATGTCGGGTTGTGATACAGGGAGTCTAAAGTTCTCCACATAAGTATGGAATTTTTTGTATTATTACTTTTATGAAAACATCAGTTAGTTACTTTTTATAAAAAGGTCTGCTTTCTCAGAAAATAGACAGTGTTAAAATATTCCAAATTAAGGTAGCATATATAGGGTGTTCAAAATAATCGGAAAAAGAAATAACCAGAAATATATGACAGAAAATAGCAATATAAACTAAATATTCAATTGCAAACACTTACCTATCATAGTTTAGAATTTACTGAACGTTTGATAAATATATTCGATTATGGACAGTATAGGAAGTTACTTGTATTAGTAAAAGCCTTGGTAAATGCTCCTGGAATTATAAACTACACTGGCTTGGGTCAAAAAATATGGAATATTTTTTCTATGTTTTGCAGCATTACACAAATGGGAATAAATTTAAACTATAATAGGTGAGGATAAATAAAAAATATAATATGTGTTTCAAGATTTTATATAGAAAAAAAAAGAAATACCTTTTTGGGGTTCGTGAGTAAAATCTACGCTTAGCTTAGTTTCTTTACTCTTATCTCTTTACATAGGGCATTGTCTTTGTGGTAAAGACGCCATTCCTTTTTTTTTGCATAGTTCTTCAATAAAATATTGGATATTCTGTATTTGGAACAAGATGGATTTAATAATAAAATCCCTGACGTATGTGAGGGCAATTGTGACCTAAAAAAGACTTATATCCAGGCCATTTATATTTTCAAATGTCAATGTTTCTCAATATCTTTGGTGTGATCTTTTGATGTAAAAAGCTTGATTCTTCTTCCAATATTTTACTTATAGGGAGGTAAGTGTAAGCAGTAGCCATAACTACATCCTCACTAGGGTAACAGAGGCTTTGGCCTTTGGCCTTTTTGAGGCATATTTAATGCACTTCTTACCTGAGAGCTACTAGTAGGAGTGAAATTATCTCTTTTAATAGCTGTCAACAATTTTTTACGAAGGTCGTCATTTTTGGGGAATATAACCAGCAGCAGAAACCTTGGGACCCCCTCTATAATTCCCGTGACAATTTGAAACCAGAGCATGTAAAAGGTATGCTGTTAAAACCTACCCTTTAATACCTATCTTTTTATTATTGTAAGTAACCATTATAAAGTACTATGCAGACTGGCGGCGAAGGCTTTTTACTCATTTAGGTGTAATATCTTAATAAATACTTCTAGTTCTTACCTTAAAATAATTAATAATAGAGGAGTACGACAAGCACAAAAGTTTGAAGCTCCCTATGTGGAATGTCTGGTTTGGATTTTTATTACACTGTTATTTTATCACAATTTTCTGATCACACCATGCACTGAACACTAAGAACTAAAAAAACGTGTTGCAGAAGCACAACAAACTAGAGATAATAAATTATTTCTGGTATGCAATCGGAACTAGAAACCACTACCGGCTTTTCAGGTTAAAGGTAAAAATTTAATAATGCGCTGCCTTCGCCGCCATATTTGCCCTGCCCAAATCATGTTGATTGGGCTTGAGTTGAGGTGGTGCTGGTCAAATCAAGTCGCAATGTTGCCAGTTGTTGGCTGGCGCACGAGCACGGTTCTGCAATGTGATCGGGCATATTTTTCATACGTCATCAATTGGCACTTTAAAATTATTTCAAATTAAAGCAATTTTGAGAGCCTATAAAAAAATTATTCCATGTTATGGAACTATTTTTTTTGGATAAATATACTGAAAATAGTCTTCTATTTCAGATTTTGTCCTTGATTTGGGTATTTTATTTTTTGTGAAAGACCCCATTATCAAGATGGCGTCAAGTACCTTCATATCTTTATAGATACTCAGAAACACTACCACAATATACGACATATATCCGAGTAAATAAGTTATAACAGAAATTTGTTAGTTCGCATAATTTTTAACATTATACAGGGTGTTTCAAAAAACATGTGCCATCTCTCGTGAGGAGGTTCCTCACGTAAATATAAGATTTATTTTTCATATCAACATAGGTCCGATTCTGATTTGTTTCGTAGCTACAGGGTGTTCAAATCTTAATAATTTATCAATTTATTATAATTTTCTTCCCAATACTTCTAGCGTTTCAAATGAAATTTTGTTAGCTAAAAAACTGTCGCCATATTCACCAGGGACGTGCATATAGGTTATCACTGGAATATTAAAAAAAAAACATGTACGCCACTGACTTTTTTTTCTCTTGTTAGCGAAATAGTGTAAGCAATTTAATGCCGATTATAAGTTGTCTCTTGATATTTAGTCGATTTCGGCCTCCTTGATGAGATAAACGTAATTTTATTAATTTGCCTTGATCCAAGTCTAATAGCAACTTGACACAATTTTAATATCATTAACTTGCAAAAGTTTTAAATAAGTACTCATTGATTCCTCATCAAAAAATATAAAAAAAAGTTCCTATAAACATGGGTATGGAAATGCATAGTTTTAGAGTTAGAGAATGTTAAAACTTTTTAAAATTAGATTTTTTGTAATTATCTTAAATATCATTATTTTTTTATTTGAAATTGCTATAGCCTGGACTAATAGTAATAATATTTAATAATAAATTAGATAAAATATATAATTTATTAATTTTATGTTAATTTTAATTTTATTAATTGTGATTAATAAAATTGCGTTTATCTCATCAAAGAGAACAAAGCAGAAGCGGCCCTAGGACCTATGTTGATATGAAAAATAAATCTTATTTTTATGTGAGGAATCTTCCCACGAGAGATGGCACATGTTTTTTGAAACACCCTGTATACGCTATCTAGTGCTTAACAATGATTAATTTTTAATTTTTATGTTATCTCATGATAGCTGTAACCCTTATTGTGGCACAGAAACTTTAGAACTGGTATTTATTCGGCTTAACTAACTTAAAATATACTTCAACTATTATGGATGGCCAGTCAATGATTGTAGATATAGCCCCTCCAGCCTAGAGAATTCATAATTTCGACAGATCTCATCCAAAAAATAAAAGAAAAAACAATCTACTGTTCCTGTCATTTAATCTTTACTAGAACATTGGACAGGCTAAGCTGAATATCATATCATAAGAAATATCATAATGATTCAAAAGTAATATAAAGGATTGCGAAAATTTCATACGCGTGTGGGGATTACAACCGAAATAATAAATAAAACAAGCACTGGAAGAAACAACCTAATTCAAATCTATATATTTGTTAAAACTTACCGCTATCTTCTTTCGTTTAAGTAGGATATAACGAATAAAAAAGTTACTAAAGACTTTAAATCTAAATAATAACTACACATAAGTAGATTTCTACTGACCTGACATTGTCTCCAAGTCGACATCGTTTTCGTCGTTAGAGTTTTCACTGGTGCCTATCAAATTTGCTCCTTGCTGTTCAAATTCTTCCATCAGTGGTTCAGGTTCGCTTAAATCCTAATTATACGAAATTTTATAAATAATGTTATAGGGCTTGTTTCTCTCTACAATTTCCTGTCTCACAATGTACCGTTTGTGTCGGGGAAGGGTTCATAGTTTCATAGTTGTCGATTTTCGAAAGAAATCAGTACGTGTATATTATTTCGTATATTTTTCACTTTATTGATTTTATGCAAAGCACTGTTCATTAAAATGTTGTATCCTATGTTATAGGGCTTGTTTGTCTCTACAATTTCCTGTCTCACAATATACCGATTGTTTTATAAGCTAAATATTAGGCTTTCTCTATGGATACAACTGGCTAACGCAAGCTGTTAGGATATTCTATTAATTTTAATCGTGTTCTTTAGACATTGTGAATGATCGTAAACTAAAAAGTATAAAGTGTAATTGAAACCACTAATTTATTTCACTAATTGCGGGGTTCTCGATGAAGCTAGAGAGCTCCAGTTCTGTTTCTTAAATAGAACAAAATTTGTACAGAAATATCAGTAGTTTATTTGAACCGTACTTAAGGTTTGATATTCACCGATTATGTATGAGAAATACTCAAAAAACTACTTATATTTTCCTTCCCCTAGGAGATGCAAGACCTTGTCGTTGGTGGGGAAGCTCCTGGTCAGGTGCTGGGGGGAATCCCCCCTAGCACTTGGCTTGGTCTAAGAAGCATCTAACTCATCGTCTTGTCCCTGACTGTAGTGTCGTGGCCAGGGAATTGCACCAAGACATATAACGATACCGGGCGGGGCTACGGACAGCCTCAACCTTGGGGCACCGGGGGGCACCCCATTGTATTTTACCCCTTACTTCTACATGCGGGGCTCTGTAGAAGTGGACCGACTGTCCCTAGCGACTCATAGGAACACTATGAGATCTGGTAATAATAGTAATAAAAACATCACCGGTGAAGCTGTGGGGAAACCCCCTAGCGACACTGGGAACAGTAACAATGAAAGTTCCAAGGGGCCAAACCCAAAGAGAACTACAGGAGAGGTGGCTGACACTTGCGTGAGACCATCCTCCGCAAGTGGCATACAAGCTACCACCTCCTCCAAGGGTCGGGAGCCTACCTCCTACCTCTAAACCCAACAGGCGACACAAGCTACCGTTTCGTCTACCCGGCCTGGGTCGTAGCTCCTCGACTGTGAGGGACACGGGTCTCCGTAGGAAGTCCTGGGACTGTATGATGAGTTATAACTCAAGAAAGGGGGACACAATAGATCTCTAAGGTCGAAGAGATTAACCCCCCTCCCACTTATTCTAAATTCTAATTCTAATTCTACTTATATTTTCACCGATATTACTGAGAATTTTTTGTAACAAAATAACACAGAAGAAAATGAATAATAAACAATAATTATTAATTAAATACTAAATAATATAGTTCCAATCGTCTATAATAATAAAAAAAAAAGTATTAAAATATCAGTAGTTCATTTGAACCGTACAATATTTTTGATTTTCACCTTTGAATTTAAATAAAAATATTAAGGAAAGCGACGGGTTCCTAAAATGGCCGACTTAAATTCCGGTAGATCCCCACCCTAGGGCCCTTTTTCTGTCTACCTTGCACGAATACATAGATAGCATTATACTCCTTCCTTAATATTTTTATTCAAAGGCAAAATTATACGGAGAATGTCATCGATCGTCATTTCCAAGTCAACTGGACGCCGTTTTTTTCGATCATTATACCATTTCTTATCCATAAAATATAACAGAATGCAGTGGCGGCCCGTCAGGTGAGGCAACTGAGGCGCCGCCTCACCTCGAAATTCTAGCCTTTAGTAGTACACAAATTTATTTCCAGCTAATCGTATATTTATATTATAGCAATATTAATATTGAATAATTTTATTAAAATATACCAAGATTTTTACTTTTCGACCGGTCTAAACCAACCGATCCCGCCATATCGTTTCTGTTTTAACTGGACTACAATGCATCTTTTCGTTCTGCGTTCCTGAGGCGTAATTTTTGCCGCCTCTGCCGACCTTTTTTTATCAATGAACTAAAACGTCACACATTGAAATCAGTGGGTCGGGGAAGCGGAGGGAAAGCGTGAAATTAGCTGCTGCAGAGGCGACAGCCAAATCGCTTAAGTGCAACGCTGTTGCCAGATTCATGAAAAAAAATCCATTCTTTACAAACTTGATTGTTAAGTTCAAAAATAGTTCGTGCTTGATATGGCTGGATAATGCGATATTATAATGCTCTTTGTAATTAAAATTAATCTATTAATTGATCTTCACGAAATACCCCATCAATAATTATGGAAATAATATCGTATATCGAAGAGAGTATAGAATAAATTTGAATAATATGAACTCTTGGCATCCACGCAATACTGGTCAAAATAACTTTAGATATTTCGGGGAATTACTAAACGTCACGTCTGTTCGGTAGGTTTGTTTTATGCTTTTGTGCAAGTAGTGTGATCTAGCCGTAATTCAGAGTTTAGTGATTTATTTTGTAATAATCAGACTTTAAAATGAATCATGTACATGACATTGTGATGTCCCTTCTAGAAACCCCGTTTTCCAGAAGACAGGAGGATGAAAAGCGAGAGGTCTTACAGGGAAACAGACCTACTTCCCAGATAAGTATTATAGCAAATGATAAAAAGACAAATTAACAATCCCGATTACAAGTGTTCAAGCCGAGCGGGATTTTTCTTGTCTAAAACGGATAAAATCTACTTAAGAAATACAATGTTACAAGATAGAATTTCTGCTTTGTCTTTATTTGGTTTGTCAATTGAAAAGGAGCTGTTGGTTACCCTTATATACTCAGAAAAAAAAAATAAAGAAACAGTTCCGATGATGACTTTTTTAATAAGTTATGCTTACAAACTTATTATATCTGAGGAGCAAAAAAATCTCTAGCTTATTGTTGCTTAGCTGCTTAAAAAACAAAAAGAAAATAAACACATAAAAGCAAAAAAAAAGTTCTTATGACATTTTTAGTAGGTTAAACCTTCAAACATATTATATCTGAGGAACAAAAAAAATTAAACTTGTTGCAGCTTAGACCCCTCCCCCCGTCTTTTTGTTTCCGTCCGCGTTTGCGTCGCCTCATCAGTTCTAATGGTCACGAGCCGCTACTGACAGAATGGTTTTAAAATATCAGTAGTTAATTTCAACCATATGTTGAGGTTTGATTTTCACCAATTCAAAAAAAAAAATAATAATAAACAACAACCATTAAATCGATAAATCATTTTTGAACAGTACATTCACTGCTACTTCTGCAATTTTTTGTGGTAAAATCCCAAAGCAATAAGACTGTACCAAAATACAACAGTAAGTAACATGAATTAAATATATATAACGCCATTCCTGTTACATAAATATCACAAACTGGTATTTAAACATTAGTAGTTCATTTGAACGGTACATTGAGGTTTAATTTTCACGAGTTATATACCGTATGATCGAAAAAGAAACGGCATCCAGTTGACTTGGAAATGAATATCGATGACATTCCCCATACAATTTTACATATAAAACGATAGCGATCTTCATTTCATAGCCATCGCTGACGCCTTTTTTTTCGATCATCTTATCTCAGAAAACACTACTTACACTTTCACTGCTACTACTGCTTAACATCAAAGAAACTGTGGAATTCAATAAATTTGGAGAGCTAAGGGAAACGCCCAAGCCTAAAATCCTATGCGGGGATTCCTGGTTATGGGACTCGTTCGACTTTTTGCTGTTTATTTGGGTTTGTATAGAGGAAGCCGAAGTTGAACTGCTGCTACTAGCGCCATTTTGTTGAGCTTTTGAGGAACAGGGGCATTCGCCGGTAGAAACAGTCTTTGTTTGAGCAGTACTGTAACATACATAAATTCTAAATCAGTATGTTTGAAAAAAATTGTTGAATATAAAAATAAAGTTTATCACACTCTTTGTATTTTTTGTATTCTATATGTTTTCTGTAACCACCATGAAAAAAATCCACCAAAAAAATCAGATTTAAATAGAAAAAAAATTATCATATTATTCAAAGAGAGAGAGAAATGACATCGGTACTGTTTTTTCGAAATATTTTTTTTCAAAAAATCTCAATCCAAATCATCCAAAAACTTGAATATCGACATGGTTATTTATTTAAAAACCAAATCACAACTGAAAATAAGCATCGATAGACGGAAATAATCATCGCTTGTCGTTTCAAAGGCCACTGAGACGCCGTTCTTTTTTTCGAAAAATATTTCTCATGTCAAAAAACTCCCAGACACCAATTTTCATCAAAATATTGACGGTACTTCAGAAATTATTTGGAAAAAATCGAAATAAAAATGACACTTCTACACCCTGTCTCCAAAATTAAACATTTTAGGACATACAGTGATGGACATATGTATGGAAGGATTTTTTTTTTAAAATATTTTGTGTAACTTTCTTTTTAAACTTATTTTAAATGTATTAAATGAAACAACGTTTTGTAATTTATGGATATTTAGTTTTAATTTTCAAAAATAATTTCTTATTTTTCTTTTAATAAAAACCATAAAAATTACTGTGGACAAAAGTATGGAAAGAAAATTTTATAAAGAAACAAATCCTAAAATCTAATATTTGGTAGCGTAACCTTTGGCCTGAAGGACTGCTATACATCTTCTTGGCATGGAATCCACAAGGTTTTGACAAATTTCCAAAGGAATGTTCTGCCATTCATCTTGGAGTATCTCCCACAAATCTGTCGCATTGTGAATAGCCCTTAACCGAATTTTCCTTTCTAAATGCTCCCAAAGGTGTTCAATTGGGTTTAAGTCTGGCGACTGAGAAGGCCTAGTAAAATTTTTATTATTGCAACACAATATCTGATCAATAAATAATCTCCAGTAAATATTTAGTATTAAAAACTTTGATACCCTTGGAGAAATGAAGCCTTAAATTTTTACTGCAATTTCATAAAATTGAAAATATTTCAAAAACGGTAACGTTTAAGTGTGATAAACCTTAATCAAATTTACCTTTATTTCAATCGTAGAATATAAAAATAGAATAATATACAGGGTGTTCCATTTTAAAAACCACAACTATAATATTTTTAACTTATTTGGAACCCAGAACTTACAATTTGTAAAAATCTTATCGTTTAGCTACAATACTCCGTGTCGTATGTGGTGAACAACCCTGTATAATTATTTATTTAAAACTAAAACAACAACTACAATCCAACAAAGATGGTGGTATTTTTGTTATAACATATCTCAGAATCAGAAATGATTAAAGGTCTAAAAAGCAGGGAACTAATGTTTAGTTAGTTATATTTAAGAAATATACAACCAAACCATACAATTCTATAAACTTACCTGCAAGTAGCCGCAGCGCCTATATTTCTACCAAAATTAGTGAGATCTGTCGAATACGACTTTTCCGCTACATTGCACTGAGAGGTTGAGGGGATTGCCCGACTATCAATTGCCACATCGTTGGTCATCGACGTTGGAATAGATTGCAACGCGTACATGCTCTTGACCAAAGCCACATTGGCGAGGTCAGTTTGAGAATTAACGCCCAACGTGGCGGCCACAGCATTTCTTGAAATTTCCGCAGCTAAACGCTGTTAACAGAATAGAATAAATTAATGTTGAGAAACGACGCGTTAAATATAGGAGAAAAATACCTCTTTCGATTCGTTAATTTGAGAAATATACTGGTTTTGAACTGTCTGTAACTGATTGATGTACCATTGTTGATCGCGACATCTTTGGTAAAACGTTGGAGCCCGTACTTGAAATCTAAATATAACAGATTTTCAAAATTCAAAAAAAAAATATACAGGGTCCGGCATAAGTGCGTCGTGAATCTGTAGCTAGAATATAAAACTTGGAAATATATTTCGACAGTTTCGTTCCAAACCAAACCAAACCAAACCAAACCAAACCAAAAATGTAATAATATACAGGGTGTTCCATTTAAAAAAAATCATCCCGATCCACTCACACTTTTGAGCCACCCTAGAGAAGTTAAAATATTTTCCTCACCATCCTAGAACTTACTTTAGGTTTGTACTTAAAGAAAATCCCCAAATTTTTTATTCTAGGAGCTACAGATGCCCAACGAACTATTGCGAGGCCCTGTATATCTAGGTAATTATACAAACCTTAGAACTAATGTATCAAGTGCAACATTTAAATATCCTTCACTAGCCAGTAAGTCCAATCTAAAGAATCTGTTGTAGCCCCAACATTCACCAACCTCAAAATCGGAAGCAAACTCTCTTACGATATTTTTATTAGAATCTCTACTAGCTTGATGTATCATCTCCACTCTGTATTCATATCTGAAATTAAATTTTATTAACTGCAACATTATTAATGTTATACTTTAAACATACTTTGAAGGTTCTGGATAGCCGGCACTCAACTCCAAAAATACGGAAAGATAGTTTCCGCGAACTACACCATTTCCGTCTGGATATACTTTCAGTCGCCAGCAAAGTCCATTGCAATGTAACGGTGTAGAGTACACTGGATCTGCTTTTCTTTGTAACTGGGTAAATCCGTGCATTACGAAAGTACTGGTGCTGTAGCCTGGCACAATTTCACTACAAAAAAATAATTATGTTTATTAACCTGAATCTATGTAATCCTCTTGATTTATTCTACCTATGAAAATCTGCAGGAACTGGAGCTGTAACAAAACTTGTCATTGGTTTCTTACGAATATTATGAATCATTCTAGATAGTTCAGAACTTTTTGTTATTAGAACAGATTTTGAGCATGTATGCACTTGATGTTCAATTTCATGTAGTAAATGTTCTAATTGTTCCGTTTCCTAAACAAAAGTTAAGTTATATTATATAAAATTATAAAAAATTGTTCAAATAACTGTACATACTTGAGTTAAAGTATCCTTTTGCCCCATCAAAGTTAATAGTTTGGTTTTTAATTGTGAGTCTAATCTTGCAATCATTAGTTCAACAGCGTTCCTAATTTCCCTAACTCTTTCATCTTTAGCTGTCCTAACTGACTCAACATTTCTTTCCTAAACATATTTTTCTTCAAAAATAAATTCCAATAATATTTGTAATTCTAACTTACCACTTCTTGGACGATGCTTATTAATTCCATTAGTCTCCGTCGTAACTGAGCAACTTCGTCTTTAATTTGGGTAACATGTTGCTCATAAACTTCATCCAGAGGTTTAAATGTATGACCTGAATGAGTTCCACCCCATAGGGCACATTGATGGCAAATACAGCATCTGCATGTCCAACAGTAAACTGATAATTTTTCTAAATGAGTTGTACATCTATAAATATATATTGTACAATATTATATCACAATTTAACAAAATCACAAAAAGTATACTTGTCTCTATCGCTTTCATCAACTCTGCTTCCATTTACGTTCACAGCTTGTAAAGTATCTAACTGCTGTGTTACTTCTTCAACCCATCGACAATTAACCAGCTCATGTAAATGTAAGGAGGCTCTACAGTGGGGACACTGAGATCTTTGCTCTGTCAACCATCTTCTTATGCAGACATAGCAACACAGTTTTGAGCAGTGAGGACAAAGATGTGCGTCGCGCAGTTTTTCCATGCAAATGAAGCATCGAAATACTTCTGCAAGGGTCTAAAAATATATCTCGTTAAACACAATACAAATTTACAGAAGCAGTATTAAATAGTCTTACACATTCTGATGTTGAACTACTATAACAGTCCATTATTAAAAATAAAACATCTCAATATCTACCAATGATTTTGATGTAATGACTTAAAGATGACATAAAATTGTTAAACCATAGGCATATTGATTTTTTTTCAAATTTTTTTATAACAAAAAATAAGAAAATATATTTATACAGTACCTCAACGCTGTGGTCATCATGTTTACTTCCTGGTTTATTTCTTGTTGCCATTGAAATTAAATCAAAATTGCCGTTGTTTTTATTAGTTAAAAATCGTTATTGTAAAACTTCATGGGATCCATTATGAAAAATATGATTTCTGAGTTCTTAAAAAACTTCTTAAACTATAACAATAAACTGTTACATATTAATCAGTGTTAATAGCTATTGTTAAAATTATTTTTTTCTTTTCAGATTTTATGTTGTCCTTTGAACTGTGAACTGTCAATATCAGATGTCAGTAGTAATGACAGATGACAGTGACCGAGTGACATCACAACGACCACAGATTAAAAACAGGATAAGATGCAGAGAACCCTTTGAATAAGAAGAACCATAAACCATAACCGTGCCATAACCATGTACATAATATAAAAAAAAATATGAGCCCTATCTTAGCTAGTCATATACTGTGTACCATAGAGAAACTAATTTTCAATTTGTGATTTTTGTATGTTACCTGTGATTTGCCTGTGATCAAGGATATCTGTTGCACAGAATACAGAATATAACGACACTAACGATCTGTTGTATGTGATCTGTGGGTATCTGTGATTGCTGTTCGATTTTGTGATGTAATGTGCAGTTCATAGAGAAATATAAAATAAAGTGTAATTTAAATTAGATCCACAAGTTTACAATATCTTTATTGTGATCTTTATTAATTAATGGATTTTACATGGGCCTTACCATATCCAGAAATTCATAAAATATGTGTTCTGTTTGAACGTTCTGAATTGTCTAACCCAAAAAAATGGTCTTATAGTCCTTTACAGAGCCATAAACAGGAAGGTCCCCAATGTGGATTAGTAGCCCTTGCTATGTTGATCAGAAACTCTAATAACGATAGTATAAATATCATATATCAATACGCAAAAAAAGAGGGATTCACCCTTAACGGAGAGATATTTAGTGTAAACTATATGAAGCAATTGGCAGTAAATTTTCTAAAAGATAGAAAAATTGAAGTATATTCTGGCCCTCTGAACAGTCACAAAATAGAACAGTTCCTCTTTGAGGGTGGAGCTCTCTTAGTTCCGTATCCTTATTTGTTAAACTTTCATATGTCCTAATAATTTTTTTTTTCCTTTTATCAAATTACTAGATATGATACTGATAAAGATAATTCACCAGGACTCCACAACGGCCACAAAGCACATTGGTGTGTGATTTCAGGTGCCGTTCAGACAGAAAATACCTTATTTGTATTAGCCAGGCATGGAAAATCCAAAAATATTGCAATTTGGAATATTGATATTTTATCACAAAGCAATCAACAATTGCATGAATTCTCTCCAGATAGAAAACTGCAAAACATCGAGTATATGCTGCCTGAAGGAGGTATTTCAGGTCCACTGGGGCTAAATGGAAGGAGTATTTTAATCCATCCTAAAAATGATATCTCTACTTTTTAATATACATAATTTTTTAACTTCTGTGAATATACATGTTAAATTGACCATCAAATTAAGTACCATATTTTTATATTTTTAATAAAAATACCGTATTACAACTTATTGACAACATATTCTAAAGTTTGTGTCTTAAATTTCTAAGCGCAGTTGGTGTAAAAACAGAAATACATTTATCCCAACTACAAGCAGCAATCTCCCCTTTTCTATGCACATTCCAATCTAAACCATGAATAAACTCAGAATGATGTTGTGAAATTTCTAGAGGTTGTAAGTTGTCATTAATGTTCCAAATTTTTGTTGAAAAATCAAAACTACCTGTAGCTAGAATATTTGAATAATGAGGAGAGAAGTGTAACACTTTCGTTGGAACATTGCTATCCTTCATTTGAAAAACTGGTTGAGTATAATATCTTATGTCCCATCCTCTGACAAGTCCATCACTACCACAAGTAGCTATGAGGTGTCGACTAAATGAATTCCAATCACAATACAAAGCTTGTGTATCGTGAGCTTTTAAAGTGCATGCTGGCATTGGCATTAATGAATTCCATATCTTTAAATTACCATTTTCAGATACTGTTGCAAACAAATCTTCGGAGCACTTTGAATAACATACACAATGGATTATATTGCAATTATCATAAAATGTGTTCACAGAGCTACTTCGATTTAAATCCCATACTTTTATACTTGAATCCCAAGAAGTACTTATAAATTGATCTCGATATTTTGACCACCTGACTGAAGAAATTTCACGTTTATGTCCTGAATATTCTGCTGTAGGTGTATCTTTGTTATAAATATCCCATAGTTGTAAATGACCATCACCTGCACCAGTTATTAAATTATTAGGCAGTGATTCAGACCATGCCACATCAAAGAGAGATTCGTGCCAATATTTTATGTTTAAAATGTCAATTGATATTCCTTCTTGAATTTGTAGAATAAATAATGTTCCCTTTCCGGATAATCCAAACGACTCATTGGCTGTTGCAGCCAAACAGTGTGGAATTCTATTAGAAAATTTAATACTATATCCATATTTACCAAAAGTTGAGAATGTTAACATTTAATAGGTAGCAACTCTGACGGAATCAAATCCATCTATTTTAACGATGTTCACATTCCAAATTCCAAAACATCACATATGGATTTTTAATATTATTTATTTAATTGTGAAAATCTGCACTGTCTCTCCTTTTATTTTGACTTCCCTTCTTGCTTCGGAGAAATATTTAGTATGTCTCTTGTCTATGGAAAAACATGTTTTATAATTATTTCATAAATTATTTATAATTTTATATTTTCATTTTCGCGTTCCCATGTCGTTTCGTTCTTGGTTTCGTTTTTCATTTGAAAGTCCAAATCCACAGAACGTATTTCTATAACATACTTCAGCAGAAAACAGAAAACTTCAGGGATGGGTGTTTCAAATTCCAGTGTAAAGCTGTAAAACTATTCTACATGTAAAAAATATATAGTATTTTACGCCGTGTACGAAACTTTGTTGGGAATATAAGAGACTATACAAATATGTCGTAAAAAAGGGTAAACGTCTACTCATCCAATAATAAACTGAAATCTCCACAATGGACAAACTGAAATCTCCATAATGGACCACATGTTCATATGACATGTCGGCTAAGTTCACTGTGATCATATATATTCTTTATCTATGACTACCTCTACACTCCATATCTATGACTATGACAGATAGTTGACAGATAGATATTTTTTTTGAAAATTAGAGGTTACGTAAAGTATTATTTTATAATGTAAACAGAGATGTAAATATTAAAGTTTCGGTTTTTAGAAAAGAATATAAAGAATTATGGGATTTGCAAATAGTAAAGCATTTAATATTAATAGTGAGATAGATAGTAGATAGTGTTAACCATGCAGCAGAAAAAAACACGTGAAAAAAGGTTCATATAAAATTTAACTATATTTTTGTCTTCATTACTTCACTTGAGTAGTAATTACTTTTTATTCTTAATCTAAGGTAATTACTAATTATATTGTTTCTTTTAGTAAAACCAGAGCATGGGAAAAAGACAGAAGAAAGAGACTTAACGATGGTTTTACTAAACTCAGTCAAGTTTTACCAACTTATGATTTTTCCAAAAACTTTTCCAAATTAGAAATTTTAGAAAATGCTAAATTAGCGATTACAGATTTAGATGAAAAACTTAAAGCCTTTCTATACCCTCAGGATTCTAAGAAATGCCATGAAGAAAAATTAAAAGGTGAATTTATAAAATATGTTTATATAATACTGTATCAATGTTTTTAATGTTTTCTTTTTTAAAGTGTTTAGTGATGTTATTAAAAGGCTACAAACCCGCATAAGGAAACTTTTAGTGAGAAATGAACAGCTCAGTAATTTGCTAAAAAATGCAGGTATTACTGTTCCAAGAGAATATAGTGCTGTTAAAAAATTTACGAAATCATACAAAGATATTTATAAGGCATCTCAACAAAGAAAAAAGGATGGAGAAGAAGAACTGGAAAGTATGTCATGGTTTAATTATTATTGTATTGTTTTAAAAGTATAATTCTCTGAAACTTAACAACTATGTTTCAGAAGAGAATCAAGTAAAAGTTAAACAAAAGAAAGCTAAGCCTTATTTAGATTTGAAACGTAAGAAAAGTTGTAGCCCATCTGTAAAAAATAAGAGGTTTTCTAAAAAGAAACAGGCTTCTAAAATAGCATCATCTTTCCCAAATTGTGTATTTATAGTTTCTCAACCAAATCTAATTAACAGCTCTTGTTATATCCTTGCAAGAAATGCTAGAAAAGGGAATCAAACAGGTAATATCTATTTTGTGAGTATGTACTTGTCTTAAATCTGTCTTTAATTTTAGTAATAACCAATTCTTCACTTTTAAAATCGCCTATAGTGTCTCCTAATATTAAACCATCTGTATTCAGTGGTAATGTGGCAACAAATTTAGGACCAGGAACGTTAATCTTAACAAATGGTACTGTAACACCGATTGTACAAACTCCCCAAATTCTTCCTGTGGTTCCAACAATATTCAATCCTATTCAAAGTAATGTATCAACACTTATTGTTGTATCTTGCAATGCTAAGTCATCTTGTATTAATAAAATTACATCTTCAACTTCATTGATACAATCATCCAAGTCTAACAAGATTCAAGAATTAAAATATTCCAGTGAAGATATAATTTCCAGTAATATGTGTCCAATTTTAAGACCCAAAATTTGTCAGACTAAAACGACCCAAGTTAATAAGGTTCCTATACCTGCTTTATCATCAAAAAACAAACATTTATGTATAAATACCACTAAAATATCTAAAACCGATATTTCCCAGGAAAAAAATTTAGACAATTGTGTTAAAAATATAAAAAATATAAGTAATAAACGTAAAAGATGTAACATTGATGACAATAGCAAAACAAAAAAGCGAAAACCGAATATTGAACAAAAACAATTTAGTGCCGAGTCTTCAGTTTGTAATAAAGACTCAATAAATGTAAAATCAACACTTGATAATACCAAAGTCAATCCTCCTGTTCATGAAAATAGTAAAGACAATTGTGAAAGTATTAAAACTAATGTTGAATCTTGTATCAAACCAAAACTACAGGTTTCAGTGTCAGAAATAGCAACTGTGGTAAACACATCTTCGTCAAATCAGTCATTTAATACATTATTAGAACAGTCTGATATTGTTCAAAACTCTAAATCAGAAAATAAGAGTGAAATATCCAAAGATATAGAGAGTAAGAAAGAAAAACCACAATTACATGAAAATAAAACGAAATTAAATGATCAACCTGTAAGTACTATGGCAGTTTGCACTAATTCTGGATCAGAATTGACTTCTGATCTGATATTCAGTACCTCAAGCTCTAAACCTGAGTGTAATTTACAGGAGTTAAAATCAATGAGTTATAATTTGTCAAGAACTGTAACTAGTAGTAAGGATATTAATGATACTCCAGATATAAAATCACTAGAACTCAATTTACCACAATCTGAGTTATCCAACGATATATTTGCTTCTCTTCAAGTGCCCTCTGGATGTCAAAACCCGGAATCAACGTCTCCGACGGCAGCTTTTCTACTTGCATTTCCTTTAGTCTCATCGGGAGTAAAAGTAACAGAAGTTATAAATGATGAAAATAATGAATCACAAACTGCTACACCTAATATACTGCAGATTGGTACAATGGAAACTACCAAGCCTAGTCAGTCTCATTCCGAAAGTTTAACGCCGAGCTTGTTGAATTTAGATGGTTTTTCGTTCTTTTCTAATAAAGACAGCTGTAGCGGATTTTATAATAATTATACTGCATCTTCCAATTCGCAAATTTGTAGTACAACAACGACGGCAACAATCTCTAATCAAAATTATGTTAATAGCAGAGCACTTACTGAAATGGACAACAAAGCAAATTTAATGGTGAAGGGACAAAAGAATAATGGAATCCGTTCCTGTCAGAATAATTATAATAACATTCCAGTTAGAAGCACTGCCTCGATAGATACCAAACATACAAACCCTCAGATGCTTCATAAGAAAATGAACAAAGAACACAAATTAAGTAATCCAAGTCATTGTAGCATCACGAATAATGTCGATCGTCCAGCGTCTGGGGTACAATCAAACTCATGTCAAAGTAGATCAATAGGGAATACTCATTTTCCTAAAGGAGGATCTAACGAACCTTATGTGCCCAAATCATTTGAAAGCTGCAGCAATTATTCAGGTTATAAGGATTGTAGTTCTCTTGCAAGTAATTCTTTTTACCCCAGTAAGAATTTCAATCCCGCATATACTATTGCTGGAAGTAACAACTATTTCTATAATTCGTACAGTTCTGAAAATGAAAATAGAAATTATAATACGTCGCAATGTTCGGAATATAGAAAGCGCGATAACTACTTAAATCATTATAATAATCAGTCTCAAATCTACAACAAAGAAAAATATGTTCCACACGTCCCAGCAGAAGCCAAAGTCCCGCATGTATCGCAAAACAAGCCGATTAATTGGATGACAACACCTAGTACTACTAGTTCTTATAAAACCGATTATTTTTTGCCACCGTTCACCAAAGATAATGACTTTACTTCAAATTTGAATACAAGTAATTCTTTTAATACGATTTCTTCAAACGCTTATTTCCCTAGCTCTTCTATGTATACCCCGAGCGAGCATTTAAATTCCGATACGAGAAAAGGTGTGGATATTTCTTTTCCAACTTATAACAGTTACCAGAGACCGGATAACGAAGAAAATCAATTCTCGTGGTCGCCAAATAAGATGCCCCAGTTTCTAGATCCAACTCATTCGTTTGTGTCTTCTACGTTACCGACGCTGGTCGGGGATTTAGCTTTAAACAATTTTTCTACAGTCGAACAAAAATCAATAATTAAAGACAGAAGTAATAAGGATAGTCGTAGAAAAATCGGAAATTTTGACGCTCAAACGGGCCAGTCGAATTTCCTTTCTGTCAGCCAATTGGTTGAGAGGGAAAGCGTTCCTGGAAAGGTTTCGTCCAGACGGAACAGCGGAAATCGATCTAAAGTAAATACATCGAAAAAACGACTGGAGAACAAGGTAGAATCTAGTAAAGAACTCCAGAGTTATCACAAGATTGAAAAGAATAATCAGTCTAAAAACTTCGTGAATGATAATTTGTTCTGCGACCCTAAACATCAAAATAGAAACAACAAGATGATACCGAGTAATTATTCAGCGGAGGCATTGATAGGAAACCATATAAACGGGGGAGATAACGGAAAAAAAGTAACGCCCTTTCAGAATAAGGGTATAGTACCGAATTTCTTGGGGGATAATATCGGGCCGTACTTCCCCTCTGTTGACGTACCTCCAGATAACAGTTACATGCAAGCGAACCAGGGTTACCAATCGAATTCTTTCGCGCACAATTTTTCAACCTTCCAAAATAACAGTTATGGAAGTGGTAATATAATTCCTAGCGCTTGTGCCATAACGTCGTCGTACTTGCCGAATAATAATTTTATGCACAATTCCAATGGTCAAGAGTATCAAGCGGACAATTCGAACGTTTTCCAAAATATTATCGCAGCTCCAAAGGATAAAGTCAACTGTACAAAAAATTATAATCGATCTTCCGATAAAGATGATAAACACGACGGTAGCAGTTGTAAGAAGTCGAAAAAACGCAATCTCAATGAAGGAAGTTTACCTTCGTTTGATATCAATTTTCTTTCGTTTTCTGCATCAATGAATTCGCCGATTTTGCCTGACGTTTTTGATACCACTTACCTTCCTCCCACCACTTTGTATTCCTGTAAAAATCCGCTGTATTCCAAGCCAGATTTGGCGCCGGGTACGCTGATTCCTCCTCTGCCTGCTCCTGGAAAACATGGAATTCAGCATCCGGAAATCTCGCCTTCTGTTAATTCAATGGGTACTTCGTTAACCAACTTTAATATGAGCACCATATTTCCAGAAATTAACAAGGTATGTAAGAAAAATCAATTTAAATATGGTTTTTGTAACAATATACAGGGTGGTCCGAACTGTATTCCGGAAACTTCGGCAGCGTATTCTGCAAATAAAAATAAGTAAAAAAGTTTGTATAAATGTATGTCCTAAAATGATTAGTTTTGGAGATACAGGGTGTAGAAGGTCCATTTTTATTTCGATTTTTTCTAAATAATTTCTGAAGTAACGTTATTGACGTGGTGCCTATAGGTGGCGCCCTCTACTAGTGGCGTGAATAGGTGGCGCCCTCTACTAGTAGGAGTCATATTGACATCAAAATCAAATTTCTCATGTCAAAAAATTCCCAGACACCAATTTTCATCCAAATATTGACGTTACCGCAGAAATTATTTAAAAAAAAAATGAAATAAAAATGAAATGTTTACACCCTGTATCTCCGAAACTAAGCATTTTAGGACATACATTTATACGAACTTTTTTACTTATTTTTATCTGCAGAACATGCTGCCGAAGTTTCCGGAATACAGTTCGGACCACCCTGTATAGTTTATTACAAATAATTGTATGCTTGAGATTGTTGAGACAGGCAAATTACATTCTGTATGTTGTTTGTCAAAATCTTCTCGTCGTCGGATACATGACTGCGGTCGATCTTTTTTCCAAGCTTACACTGACGTCAAATATTTCTTGGTAAATTAAAACAAAATTTAAATCCTTGAACTATCGTATAGTCTGTCCTACGAGAGTATACCGGGTGCATCTTAAAAGTGGCTCACCCCAATAACTTTTATTTTTTCAGGTAAAAGATCAAGATTTAGTATGTTAGTATATGACGTAAACTGGGATTGATTGACGTATTCAGTTGTTTTCGATCACTTCCTGTTTCATCGGAAATGACTACAACTTTTGATTTTTAAATGGCACCCTCGGTATTTTGTTACTTTATTACAGTAAATTACACTCTGAATAGAATGACATATCATTGACATATGATATGTTGACATTTTCGAATATGGTTTATTTTAAATTGCAACATACGATTCATAACGACAATTTGACTCGAAATACCAAGTGTGTGGTTCCAAATTATTCGTAAAAAATGCTTTTTCCAAATATGCTAATGAGCCACCCTCGTCCCATTTGAAAAAATTGGGATATGATTAAAAATACGATTTGAGCATCTTTTAACCGGCCAGGACAAGACACTAAAAACTTTAGACGATCAAATCTATTTTTTCAAGACCCCTTGATAAAAAGTTAATGTTTTTAACACAGCCATGACACCCTAGATTGAAATTTAAAATACAGTTTTGTTTTAAGTGAAAATATCAAAGGTTGACATATGATATGTCATTATATTTAGAGTGTCATTTTCTATCAAATAAAGTCAAAAAATACCGAGGTTGCCATTTAAAAATCAAAAGTTATAGTCGTTTTCGGTGAAACAGGAAGTGGCCGAAAATAATTGAATACGTCAATCAATACTAAATTATGTCATATACTAACATACTAAACCTCGTTTTTTTACCTGAACAAATAAAAAAGTTATTGGGGGAAATTAAAAGTTATCACTTTTGAGACGCGCCCGCAGTGGCGTGCAGTACCATTTACAGTAGGGTGGGCAACAGAATCAAAAATATGAAAAAAAACTAAAAAAACGTATGTATTACATAATATATATGTACAATGTACGTATATAAAATTTACTTGTCTAACGTATTTTAACTTTAAACTCAAACAAAAGAAAATTCAAATAACAGCAAATAAATTTAATTATTTGTAGATGCAAAACGAATAATCTGTCTATTATTCAATAATTATTTCTTCCCGATAGGCGACTCAACGACTGGCGAATTAGCTAAACCAATAACCGTACACAATATTGCCAGATTGCCAATTGCCACTGCCTAATAGATTTTATGTACCAAAATGATTTTACAGTCAAATAAAATAATAAATGAAATCATTTGGAAACAAATACAGATGACAGACAAGCAAATTTCTAATTTGCTACATAATACAAATCTTTGTAAAACACAGTTATTTAAAATTGATCATATAAAATAACATGGACTGTTTCTTACATAGTTCTGTAATAACATCGGAACTGGCAATACCGCATCGGCGGGATCGAGACATCGGGTGCATCCGTGCTGCGGTAACGCACTGCTTTTGCTTGTCCATATCCATATAATGTTAAGTTGCGGCCGTGCGTTCGATTTCGAATAATGGGATGCGTTTTTTAGGTAATAATAAGACGTTGAACAGGTGGCGTTTGTTTTGTATGATGTTTCCGGCTTTGAAACCGTAATAAACACAATACTAACTTACTATTTAGAAAAATAAAACAATGTAGGTCGCATTGTAGGATTTGTAGGTAGATATATAATGAAAATTGATCAGATAAATATATTTTTTTGCGTCTGTCTTGAATAAATCGAAGGGTAGGCAATGCTTTTTTGCCTATATGTAATGCACGCCACTGCGCACCCGGTATATTACTGTGACAGTTATTTTTTGTCATTTTAATTCAAATAAAGTAATCATAGTGTGTTTTTTCTCTCGGTTTTTAAATGTCCTCTGTCTGAATCGTCTCTTGTTATTTTACATATTTGATTTCAAATTATTTTTCACTCTAAAGAGGGGTAAGAATACATAAACAACGTTATATTAGTAAATGGCGTTGAATTGCCAAGAATAAAGTGAAAAAAAATAGCATTTTTTGTCTTATTACTAGGACTATGTATGATTTCGACAGACAACGTACAAATATTGAAAAAAGTAGTCAGTATTTTCAATTTATAACAAATACCAGCGTTTATTCAGATTTATTATACAATTGTTATTAATTTTTTTAGGGGCCAATTCAAGAACATTATACAGACAACAGAAATAAAGATTATTCTGTTGGTAGAAATTTTCCAGCAACATCTTCCATTCAAGTAAGTTTGAACAAGTATAGGTACATATAATTATAATTTCGGTTAGAATTCAAAATTAGTTCAGTTGTCCTTTTAAATTGAAAATTTTAATTTTTGGTAATTTCTTAATTCGTGGTCTGGATTTTAACGTGTAAGATAATGATGAACATACTCGACTGACTATGCAAACATGTAAAAAAGAATCATTTTGCTACAGTTCTAAAGCTGTACGCACACTGGTGCGATCACGGCCGCGATCACGATCTCCACGCGGCCGCGGCCGAAAGTTGCTGAAGGATACATATGAGCCGTTTCACATTGGCGCGATCGAGTTTTGGAGACGCGGCGGCATATTCTGCGGTGGCGATCCAGATTCAACTTGTCGAGTTTGAACGCGTGATCGCTACCCAACTGATAGGAATTTTCCGTTATTTTGTGTGTTTTTTCTTGTTGCAATTTAGAAATGGAGTTAACAGAGCAGCTAATTAAGGCTGTAAAAATACAAAAAATTCTATATGATCTATCCGATCCAAGTTACAAAAATAAAAGAATTAAAAATAAAAAGTTTTAGACAAAGTTGGAGTTGCAATTGGATCGGATAGTACATATGTATACATTTTTATTGTTTAAGTTTAAATATTGTAGGTAAATATTTCAGAATGTTTTTTTTTCAGTATACATAATTCACATTTTTAATTTGTACCTATGTATACCTACAGGATAGCTCACTACATATAGGTACGGCGGTGAACATGAACGCGTTGTTGTGTGCCAGAATGATCGCTCATGTTGTCGCTGCCCTGATCGTGATCGCGGCCGTGATCGCACCAGTGTGCGTGTAGCTTTACATTCCACTAGCGTGTCCGCTTAATTCAATTTTTGTTTATTTCTCTAATCTTTAATCATATCTACCACACGTAGGATCTACGATCAGGCAGTTCTGCATGTCTTTTTATCTAACTTTGTACTATTTAACTAACGTAGTCTCATAATTAGAATAACGTGACAGGTATTCTTACAATTCATTATAATTTTTAGGTTCCTTTTAGTAGTAAACCATCAATCAGTTTCAGCTCTTTTGGGACGTGATGAAAATAAATTATTGTATATATTACCTACTTATGTACGCACAACCAAACTTATATGGAATTACTCTTTCACTCTTTATTTCTGACTAAATTTTTTGCAAGGATAAAAATTGGTATACAACTTTAAAGCCCCGTTCTCAGAACATCGGTATTGTCGAGCGACACGCCAAGAACCAAATGAGATCACAAAATTCAAAATTGACAGTTGTTTGAATTTTGTACGATTCTCATTGGTTCTACCGCCGCTCTGTTATGCTCGTAACAGGTTAAAAAACAACGTATCTAAAATGGCTTATTTTCTATACGTTATTCTCTTACCCGTTGCGAGCCTCCATCGACAATCGACCGATGCAGCAGCGTTCCTTTCCCACTCCTGTTATCTCGACCGCCAGGCGTTACGCCCGCAACTGTTTCAAAAAAGCTGCCTCTTTTATATCCTATTATTTTTAAGCTGTTGCAAGCCCAATCCGACCATCGACCGATGCAGCTAGATTCGCCGCGCCGCGCCGTAGCGCATTTCCCACTCCGTTGTCCGTTGTATCTCGCCTCGCCGCCTGTATCGATGGTTGTCGAAATAACATGTTTTCCATCCATACTAGTTGTTTTTTGGAATTGCTTCGAGCAGCATCGAATTTTGTGACGGTGCAGAGTGCAGAGCGCCGACTTCGTTTCAAAAACGGTGGATCTCTATGTGTCGTTATTTTATATCTGTTATTTTTTAGAAGTAGTAACGGTTGCGTTATGTTATTTCTAAAGAATTGTTATAAAATAACAGATAGTTAAATAAACCCATCACTAGTTCTCAGAGCTCCAGAAAGACGAGCGCGACTTCAGGCTGCCAAATCTGTACCAAGATACAAAGGAGAAACTATAATGTTCTGGGGAGGTATTATACTGGGAGCAAAAATTCCATTGTTACCACTTTAACAAACTTTAACGGGTCGGAGAAATGTTGACTTGGTGCTAGACCCAATCGTTAGTCTTTGGAGAGCTGCAATTGGTTATAATTTTAACTTCTTGTACGATTGTGCACCTCCCCATACCAGCAAAGGTGTTATAGTTTTGGACTGGCCTGCATGTTCACCAGATCTAAACCCTATCAAACACTTGTGGGACTAGCTTAAAAAAAGGGTTCAAGCTCGCTTATTATCGTCGAAACAATCCAGGAAATCTTGCACAGCTTATTGATGCAGCATTAGCAGAATGGGAAAACATACCTCAAGACCAAGGACTATATATTCTAAAGGACTGTTCGATCGCGTCAAATCGCCGCTGTCGTAGTCGCCGTGGAATGCTACGTCACGCGCTGACCAGCGCTTCACAGTGCGGCGGATGGTTATTCTAGCGGGACAAAATCTCAAGAGCTTAACCTCTCTAAGAGGACTTAAAATCTAAGAACGTAGCAACTATATGGTTAAATTTATTTATTTATTAACAACTTAATTTATTAATAAATAAATACAAGATAATAAAACTATGATATTATTCGTACATGACACACAAAAACCGTATTGTAAACTATTGCCAAACACATAAAATTAGAGTATGAGGTGAAATACTTACAAAAAACTCTTTAGCAGTTATTTTTTAATTACTTTGTATTCTTGTGACACCCTCTATATTTTATTTTAAAAAATTATATTTTATTTTAAAAATATTAAGATAGATATATTAATTTTAATTTTAACACTCGGTAATTGTAAATTCATATATAGTAAGTATCTAAGACAATTTTTTAAACTCAGTGCCTTTTGATGGAGTTGTTTTGTTTTTATACTATCCGATTGAAATGAAACTTTTTGGGCATTCACCTGTTAAGCTTGAACTGCCTGTGACTGTAACTACCTGTGTTGGTAACTATTGGTAACTCAAAAGATCTACCTCATTCAATATATCGATATTTGAAAAAAAGTGAAAGTTTGATATCTGCAGAACAAAGGCACAAAGGATTTTAACAAATAATATACGTACAGTAGAAAAGTACATACCTTTGGCAATCTTCAACATAATTTGGCTTTGGAATAAAATGTATAAGCACTTGTAAATATTTCGTTTTCGTATGATCTCTGCCTTGCTGAGCAGAAAACGACCAAATTTGGTTGATAAAAATGTATCGAAATACAAAGAATATTCATGTATTGTTATATCAATTGGAATGTCTACTATTTATTCTTACAGTGCACATTTTTTGGCTTATTTCTAACCAAACGCTTTTGTCCCGCTAAATTTATCTTCCAACGCACTGTGCGCTCGTCCGTCAAATGCAAAAATAACTGTCACTGTCTAAAACTTTTGGCACGAAATGCAACTGGGTCATTAGATGACGTAGAAAAACTGACAGTGCAGGAGGATAGGAATCGAACAATCCTTATCTCTATATAGTATCCTTGCCCCAAGACAACGTTGATAATTTAATAAGAAGCATGCCAGCGCGAATAGAAGCTTGCATAAGGGCTAGAGATGGCAACAAGGAATATTAAAATTTAAGTCTTAATTTCGTTTCAGAAACCAAAAAATACCATTTTGTTTATTTTGGGAACTGATTAATTTTTTTTATTACTATATGGATTATTTTTCATTAAGTCATTGGTAAGGACTGAGTTTTATCAAAGAATATTATAATTTTAAAGGTTATTAAAATATTCTTTGGTTTTATTCATAAACACATTTTCATACGTCTCAAAAATTATGAAAATAATAGATGATTCCATTAAGTTTGGCTGTGTGTAGATTAATAGTATTTATAATATAGAATAAAACCAATTTTTAAACTATATATTGGAAGTGTATATAATTAATTGTAATATAAACATAAAACCTTATATATTAGCTTAATTTAATTTATTTGGTCATATTTATTTAAAAGTAACAGTTATTCCTATATCAATTTAAAGTTGAAAACTTAACAAATTAAACAATAACGTAGGGTTTATTTACAATATATAAATAATACTTAAAGAAGGAACAAAAAAAAAGAATTTGTGCATAAAAGAAGAGCGATATTTTATATTTTAATATAAAGTTGTTTAAACGTGGCACTTGGTATGTATCAAATTATGGAGATAACAAGAAGAATAACATTATTAGATCTAGATTTATTCCTCATTTTATGACTCAACAATAATAACTTAAAACTTCTTGGGATTCTTCTTTTTAAGTACTGTAGTAGCTGTTCTTTAGTTGGCGCACCATGTAGCACGAGAAGATTATACCTAAGATCTGTAAACAATAAAAACCTTATCAGTACTTAAAAATAACATGAAAAAACAGAATTATATTTTAATTGTCGGTAAGTAAATTATATATAAAATTCCCGTCTGAAATTTTGATAAAAAAGTGATATATTGTTTTACAAAAGACACATATTTTGATTGTTTTATCAAAATGTTATCTAGTATTAAGCTGATGTGTGTTGAAACACGAAAACCTGTTGTAAATAGATGTTTTTTATATATCACATACATCCTACAACCAATAATTACTTTTGATCTCTACTGGTAGATGCTACAAATTAATTTTCTTAGATTTCAAGTTCGCATATTTCAAGTAACGTTAATATTTGGATAAAAATTGGTGTTTGGGAGTTTTTTGACATGAGAAATTTGATTTTCATGTTAATATGACTCTTAATTGTAGGGGGCGCCACCTACATGTGTTTTAACCAAAGGTTTTAACTGTTTTGAAGAGTAATAACTTTTCGTCCGTAGCTGTATAAAACTACTCAGTGAAAAAATAAACATTTCCGTGACTTTCTAGGCAAAAAATGTCTCTTGGTAAAAATCGCTAGGAGCAACCGTTCTCAAGATATTTAGAATTGAAATAATCAATACATGCCATTATTGACAAAAAATAAACATGTTGAGTAGACATAGTTATTTCACTGAGATAATAAATTTGGCAAATTTTTATTTTTTTAAATTAATCATAAATTTTTGTGCGAAAAAATGATGATAAAACAGTTTCTGTTGAACTTTTAGCACAAAAACATTTCAAATTTATGAATTCAGTCTAACTATTTAGTCAACCTGTTTAATTTATGTTAATGATGACAGGTATTGATAATTTTGATTCCAAATATCTTGCGAACCATTATCCGTAGAGATTTTTACCAAGAGACCTTTTTTGTGTAAAAAAAGTCAAAAATGTATATTTTTTACTCAGTAGTTTTATACAGGTACGGACGAAAAGTTATTACTCTTTAAATCAGATAAAATATGTAGGTGGCGCCCTCTACAAGTAGGAGTCATATTGACATCAAAATCAAATTTTTTATATCAAAAAACCCCCAGACACCAATTTTCATCAAAATATTGACGTTTCTTCATAAATTATTTGGAAAAAATCGAAATAAAAATGAAACTTCTACACCCTGTATCCCCGAAATTAAGCATTTTAGGACGTACATTTATACGAACTTTTTTACTTATTTTTATCTGCAGTATACGCTGTCAAAGTTTCCGGAATACAGTTCGGACCACCCTGTATATGTAAAAATTGATTGGATTCAGAATCTAAGGAAAACTTCCCTTTTAACTGCTAAATAAATTTATCGGTTATCAAAGTTCATACTTGATAACGGTCAGTCATGCAACTGATCGAAACGTGTAAAATTTAAAAATTATAGACAATGTCAGTTCAAGAAGATATTATAGCTTTGTTCGGGTTCTTGTTATTACCGATTCTGAACCGTCCTAGAACTCTGCAGCGCATGCGCAAATGAAATAATGTCTTCATATTTCCTTCTGCGCATACGCATCACAGTTCTAGGACGGTTCAGAATTGGTAGTAACTAATCGGTAATAATAATAATTAATCGGGTTTCCCCGAAGTAAGCTTTTATTTCATAATTATTCAACATCGTCTACCACTTTCAAATCATCAAAAGTCTATTTTATATTTTTATTAGTTGATAATTAAGTAGTTAATTGTAGTTTTTAGTTGTTTAATGAATTAGTTAAGAGGGTCATGGTTTATAAGAATCCACAGATACCGTCAAAAATATGCAATAACTCTTATGAAAAAAAATTTTTAAATAATCGATTAAAATATAATTTGACGAAACGATACCTATTGACTTACCTGAATAATAGCTAGACCTAAAGCGCAGCCGCCAATTTGAACAGCATGTTTTTTAATGAAACTTCCAAAAGCAGTTGCGCATCCGGTTTGGTAGGGTGTACTTGTGGATTCAGGTGGTGGCGTGGTTGGGGTGGGATCTTCAGCAAGAACGTCTCTTCTCCTACGTCCTGGACCTATGTAGAGGAGTCAAAATAAATCACTTGGATGTTTTCTAATATTTTACAGATAATATACAGGGTGTGTCTTAAATAAGTGCAAATATTTTAGGGGTAGTGTATTTCGATCCCAGAAAAACGATTATGAGGTTTTTTTTGCACGAAAAAAAAATTAAATTTGGATATTTTTTATTTTTTTTTAGTTTTTAGTTAAAAAACATACTTTGTTGGTAATATGGCAGCATAGGTAGTAGATTAAATTTACAAGAAAGAAAATCCAGAAAAGATCCAGTGGTTCTCAAAATTTTAGGAAATTTTTTTTTGAAATTTTCAAAGTGAAATAACTTATTTTTAGTTATTTTGGATTTATTTGAAAAACGGTAAAGAGAAAATATGTTTCTTTTATCGAGATCTACCAGCCCTGAAAATATTTGCACTTATATAAGACTCACCCTGTAGATATCGTCATTTCTCTTCGTATAAGTGCACGTTCATATTAGTGAGCTTTGCGCGTCGAGTGGTGCCGTCTCACGCGTTGTGCGTTAGATAAAATTGTTGTTAAATAGTCGAATTTCATAAATCATAGCTAATATCTCGCAGTCGAGCGAGCCTACCAAAATTACGTATATGACTGTGACGCAAGCTTTCTTTGATCGGCCGTCGCAAAACCGACAGAGGACGGATATCAACGAGGCTCCGTGGGTTGCTCGCGAGGCTCTCGCCAAACCCGTCCACACTTAGCGAATTTGGAATGTCTCGCGCTCGTCTCGTTCTCGTCTCGTTAGGTCTGGACGCACCTTAATGGCTAAGAAACAACTGAGACAAAGCAAAGGAACGCACGTTTAATATCAACATTGCTAATGAACAGGCACTAACTGTTCATTCTATTTAATGATTATTGCGTATGGATTGACGTAGGAGACTGAAAGTTTATTACCTAGTTTATTTAGTTATTGATTACAATTGGGGGTTGGAACTTTTGGTGTAACAACAGCAAAAAATAAAACACTAAATCATCACAATACACCAAAACACTTTTACTCAGCACCATCAGCAGATGATTAAAACTGATTTTAGGTGTGATTTTGTTAGGTGTTTTGGTGTATTGTGGTGATTTAGTGTTATATTTTTTGCCAAAAAGATTGCCCTTTGAAAACTTTAACTGAGGTGGCTGGAGGTGAGATAAAAAATATACCGATCGATATAATGGTTTTATGTTTGATCCGGGTTGACTAAAACATATATTTTTTTCCCCAGAGCTAAATATTGTTATTAACAGAAATAATGATGTTTACTTTTGAATTGAAAGCACTAAACTAATATCATTATGTCTAATACATAGAACTAGATAAATAAAGTACCTATTTTTAATATCTAATGATATATAAGAAAATTGAGATCTATGTCACGTTAGTAGAGGGGGATACATAGATTAGTAGGTATCATAATGTTTAGGGATAAGATAATAATAATACAGTCTTCGTTTAATAAACCCCAACAATGATTGAAATAGATAAATATACTTTTAAGACAACAGCAATAAAAGCAATCAAACTTAGTTTTAGATACAGCACTTGATAAGTTCAGCACTTAAATGATATGCTAAGCAGAAGTATATTTAGCTTTCCAATACATGTATTATGAGTGATTATAAGCGATTTGCAGAATTCAAGCGGATGTCAATTATGGTAGAGTATCTGTGTCATTTTGAATTATACAAGAAATAGTGAGTAACATGCTGTGAAAAAGAAGTAGCAAATGGATTTACACAACTACCTAAAGCAATAATTCAGCCAAAAAAATACATGCAAGAAAATTTTGAAAAATTGAATATAGTAAGTTGTTAACATGCAATAATTTTTTACAATTAATTATAATAAGCTACTAATTAATTACATAAACCTTCCGAAAGAAAGTCATAAATACCTGTAAACTAAATACCAGTCCTTCTACACTAAAACTTACCTATCCGTGTATGTTGGAGATTACCGAAATTTTGTTTGCTAAGTGTATTACAGATTTATTCACTAGCTAAATTTATAAGTAAGGTGCATGCATTCACTTTTAAAATGGAATGTAGTCTTTTTTAAAAGGATATATTTCTTTTATTATATTATTTAAGAAGACTTTTTAGATCCTCTTGACAGATGATCCCCCAGATAAATATCGTACACAACTTTCTATAATCTTAAACTGTATTTACATGCTGATACATTTCTAGAGATGGGCATGGTAACGTCACAAGTCAGTAGTGTTTATTTTTGTTTTAAAAGCCAAAAAATTGTAACAAATTGTAGGTTTGAATTTTTGAAATATTCATAAATACCCTTTGCATATTTAGAGAACATATTCCGTCTGCCCAAAAATTATTGAAGAGTGGTTATAATAAAAGCATGCTTTTTTGAATGTTCATATTTTAATTTTGCATATAAAGCCATATACTCATTATGCACTAATGCGTTGATTTGATGCGTCCATAGCGAGTATGATGCGGTTCGACGATGCGATTCGTTAGTTTGTTTGAAATTCGTCCATTTTGTTCGTGATATTCTTTTTGAAGATTCGCTCAAAAAACGACATTTCGTCGAACCGCCCTACAGCCCGACGCATTGGCGCATCGAATCGACGCATTGAGGAACCGCATGGACAAGCCGCATCAGCGCATAGTGAATATGAACACTTTTCGGATATAATGTTTTTAACTAAAGTTTCAGTAAATAAGAAATAGACCCGCAACACACCTGCATAGTACTTCAAATAAAAATACTGTACCATATGCAGAATTTTATGTTAAATCTAATCACATATCTTATTCTGCACAGAAAAATAGAGGTTGCGATTTGAAAAAAATATTATTACTTTTTTTGGGACACGCTGTATACAACAAAAAAATTTTGAGATATGTTGCATTACAGCCGGTGCCGTTCAAAGCCTACTTATTTAAAGCGGGAATTATTAATTATATTTAGAAGAATCGAGCAAAATATCAAGTGTGTTATATTTTTGGAAAGGTAATTTTAAATTCTTTTCAATAAATTAAAAATATACAGGGTGTCCCATATGAAAAATCAAATTTTCTGTTGATAATTCTTAAAGTATTAATTTTAAAAAAATTATACTTAAACCATTAAATTCTACCTAAAAAAGGTGCTTTGGAAATGTTTCCATAAAAAATACAAAATTATAGCAAGAAAGTTAAAGCGATTTGTTAAAAATGCATATTTTTGAAAAACACCCCGTAACTCCGAAACGGTAACAGATATCGATATGCGGTTTTCACCATCATATTTTTGACAAAAATTGAGCTCCAGACACCGATATTAGTTTTTGTCTATCTCCTATAGAAAAGGGTGTTTCCATTTAAAAGCGTCGAATTTGACCCACCCTGTACATCTTTAAAAATAAATAACATGCTTTAACAAAAAGTAACAGCTATTTAAAAAAAAAACAGACGTTACTACCCATCTCTATACCTTGGTTTTTGTAATATCAAAAGGACACAAATATTCATACCAGAAGGAAGAGGATTCGGCTCTGCAGTACTAGATGGAATTGTACTTTCAGAAGTACTTGACGTAGAAACCGAGGCTGTACTTGAACTAGCTTCAGTAGTACTAGCTGGAGAAGCCGTCGTTGTACTTGAACTAGCTTCAGCAGTACTAGTCGTAGAAGCGGCCGTTGTACTTGAAACAGCTTCAGTAGTACTAGACGTAGAAACAGATGTTGTTGAACTACCTTCAGTAATGCTTTGCGTCGTTGAGGTCGTTGTCGCTGAAGTTGTATAGCTGTTACAATAGAAAACTCCAGTCGTTCCCGATTTTTCCGGGCAACACGAAACAGGTAACTGGTAACCACTTAAAACGGTAGACCAATCTTCGTAACTTGTCGCACCACAGCACTCAAACTGAAAATGATAATAATTTTAGGACTAACGAACAGGTACAAATTTTATTAAATCTTTATAATCAGTATGAGGGTAGTTTTATATTTTGCATTAAGCCGAAAAAAATTTCGCGCAATAATTTTTTACAATTTTCGAAGACATTTGTCTCAACAAGAATGCGTTGAATGAAGTTGTCCACCATCAATTCAAAAACAGCTCCACCAACAACGGCAGTCTCACAGGAATTGGTGGATGACATAAGCTGATACAAGAAGATCGATATGTCACATAGTATTGAAGCATTATTATTCGCAAGATATTGAAGCATTAGGGGCATTTCAAAGACCTCAATTCAAAAATTTTACATAACGAATACTCTTTTTTTTCTAACTCTATATGCAAAATATAAAACGCAACCCTCCGTAATATACTATTTCAACTATACAATACTCACTTTCGACTGGATTAGATCCCAAATATCGTGTGTACTACTATTGTAGCTCTTTAAATTTTCTTGTAACGTGTTTTCCAAATAGCTAATGGTTTTATCCCTCAGAACGTAACCTGCGATGCCGGCGGAAAACTCGAAGATAAAGACAACCACTAATAGCACTGAAAACTAAAATTAACAAGAAGTTGTGATGAAATGGTTGTAAAATTAACATACCTAACAAATAGGAGTACTTAAACGTTTAGGTATTCTTATCAATAAATCGATCAAACAAAATATATATTTGTACTTTGATGCATAAATCATATTGAGATGGATTAAAATTATCGGAAAAAATGCCTGTTTATTTTTATAATTTTTTTATTGAAAGTATGTATAAATGAAATCCAACATACATTGGTAACAATTTGTGGATTTGGTATACAGGGTGGTCCAAACTGTATTCCAGAAATTTCGGCAGCATATTCTACAGATAAAAATAAGTAAAAAAGGTCGTACAAATATACATATGTCCTAAAATGCTAGTTTCGGAGATACAAGGTGTAGAACTTTCATTTTTATTTCGATATTTTTCAAATAATTCATGAAGTAACGTCAATATTTGGATGAAAATTGGTGTCTGGGAGTTTTTTGACATGAGAAATTTGATTTTGATGTCAATATGACTCCTATTTGTAGGGAGCGCCACCTACATTTGTTTTAACTGTTTTGAAGAGTAATAACTTTTCGTCCGTACCTGTATAAAACTACTGAGTGAAAATATGTACATTTACGTGATTTTTTACGTAAAAAATGTCTCTTTTTAAAAATTGCCGGAGCAGTGGCGTATTAAGACATATTTGCGTCCTAGGCTATTTTTTTAAATTTGGCGCCCAATTTATTCTAAATTATTTGGAAAAAATCGAAATATAAAAATGAAATATCTACACCCTGTATCTCTGAAACTAAGCATTTTAGAACACACATTTAAGGGGCGTCCAGACCGAAGAATTCGGGCATGTTCTATGGGAACGCTTAACTGGTGTGGACGGCTCTGATCTGAATGATTGCTTGCTCGCGCTCGATGCTGTTCCACGCCGTGTCGGTACATCAAAGAAAATTCGCGCTATTGCACGTTCGGTTTGGACGGGATTTTGTTTACCACGTTTGCGATCGAATATCAAAAATGGAATGGCCGAATGAAGCGTTTTAGAACCAATGAGAGTACAAAATCGTCACACCCGTAAGGTTGTTGGGGCCTTTCTCTAGGTGAAATTGCTTTCCGCAATTGCCATCACTTTTCATTATTTTTATGTCAATTAAATCTAATAAGGTATTAAAATCTGTAAGTGACGTCCGACAAAAGTTCTTAAATTTTCCAGAATTCTGTTTCAACATCGTTTAGTAAATTGTTACCGCCATGAGAAACTCGATTTTTAAAAAGAGTTATGTTCCACTATCTCCCCTGCAGTCGTTTTCTCTTTTGACGTTTCAACAATTAATAAAATACAGTGAAAGACGCACAAGCAATAATTTACAACATTATGAACATGAAGTGCCACACACCGATCAACGCCGAACATACAAATAATCGCTAGGTCCGGACGGAAGCTGATCATACCGAGAGCAGCAGAAATCACAAGCGAATGAATAACATGTCGCGCCACTGCTCGCTCATCTGGTCTGACGCCTTTAAGGCTGATTCATGGTACATCAAAAGATGCGCCGGGCCGTGCGACGGTGAAGGCGCAACGGCCAAACATTGTCAAATGTTACTGGCATGTATGCATTCATGCTAAGCCGAGCACGGGCCGAGCTTCGCCGGAGCGCGTCCGTGCCCCGTCCGAGAAATGTCGGTGTATATTTTTCCTCGGATCCGCTACGGCTTGGCCCCGTTGCGGCAAACATAAATGAGTCGCCCGGCCAAATACTGCTCACGGGCCTATAGCGACTGTTTTCTAGCAGTGTTGCCGCACCCAACTTTTAGCGCGTACCACATTATAACCAAAATGTACCACTTTGGTACAATTTTAAAGCACAACAAAAGTCACATCTGCAACAACTGATTGGTCGCTGTGAATTTCTTCATAAATTTAACATAAAAAACTTCCTGGAGAAAGACACAAATCGAGACGAAAAACATGAAATAGAAATCAGAAAAACCCAATTATAAGTATATGTATGGGTTGAAGAAATCTAAGTAATTTAATACTACACACAATAATGGAAACTTAAAAAAAACGCAACATAGAAGCATGTTAGAAACAGTAAATTTTCAAGTTTTTCTTCTGGTTATTTAATATAGGCAACGTTATAGACATTACAACGTTTATAATACGTCGTTAATTAATGCGATTGTCTCCGAATGGTATCGGTAAGTTGCCACGCAACATCAACGACAATAATTATTAAATATCTATTCATTTTCGGTGCGCGAAATAATTATTGTACCAAATCATCCTGGATTTGAAAATGAGTACCACTGTACCAATAGAATTGGGTGTCAAATTTGGTACAAATGTACCACTGCGGCAACACTGTTTTCTAGAATATAATCGGCACGGACATGATCCCCGTTGTCCACTCGGTGTAGCATATATTGAAGGCCGGGACGTGGCCTGGTGTCTACTGCATGGAACGTGCCCGGCTCGGGTACGGCCCGGTGTACCATGAATCAGCCTTTATACAAACTTTTTTACTTATTTTTATTTGTAGAATATACTGCCGAAGTTTCCGGAATACAGTTCAGACCACCCTGTATAATGTATTAATAATAATCAATTAAATACTGGTAAATTAGCTGTTCTAATTTTTTGACTCAATAATAGATATTATATTTTTGCAAACCTTTAGAAAAACTAACATTGGAACAAAAGTCTTAAAACATTCTTTATTTTTTCAAAGGGCCACTTGGATATAGAATACCCGGACACAAATTTCTCAAACTAATAATGGATCTTTAATTAAACACGAATTGTTTATATTTTGTTTAACTTTTCGAGGGGCATATTTCCCTCGAAGCAACCAAAACAAGAAAATTAAGGCCTTTTACAAATGCGTTTAATAAACTTGACTATTTATAGACATATCTCTAAAACTATATTAAACTATTCTCGTTTTAGCTGATTTTAAAATACCAAGTAAATAATTTAAAACAATAAGATCTCTTAGAGCAATTAGTTGCTTGCAACCTACGTGATTATAGAGGCTCTGACAAATAAGCCTCAATATGACGCTGCATATGTAAAACGCATAATATCGCGTCTCTATTTGATATGTGGCGTTAAATAGAATTCTATTGTTTACTTCACCTTTATTTCTCAATTAAAATAATCTGGATGAAAAATAAAAGTACTTATATCTTGCCTGCATTACCCAGCACTATAGTTAACTACTTGTAACCCATGTATTATACAGGGTATTCCGGAAACTTCGGCAGCACATCCTGCAGATAAAAATAAGTAAAAAAGTTCGTATAAATGTATGTCCTAAAATGCTTAGTTTCGGAGATACAGGGTGTAGAAGTTTTATTTTTATTTTGATTTTTTCCAAATAATTTATGTAGTAACGTCAATATTTGGATGAAAATTGGTGTCTGGGAGTTTTTTGACATGGGAAATTTGATTTTTATGTCAATATGACTCCTACTTGTAGAGGGCGCCACCTATATGTATTGAAACTGTTTTGAAGTGTAATAACTTTTCGTCCGTACCTGTATAAAACTATGGAGTGAAAAAATATACATTTCCATGACTTTTTGCGTAAAAAATGTCTCTTGGTAAAAATCGCTACGAGCAACCGTTCTCAAGATATTTGGAATGAAAATAGTCAATGAATGTCATTATTGACAAACAGGGAAATTAAAATAACTTTGGTTACACATCATAATTCGACCACGTGATTGATGACGTGCAACGAAAGTTGTTTTAATTTCCCAATAGTAACTTGACTGAAATAATAAATTTGGGAAATTTTATTTTTTTTAAATTAATCATAAACTTTTCTGAGAAAAAATGACGATAAAACAGTTACTATTGAACTTTTGAAACAAAAACATTTCAAATTTATGATTTCAGTCTAACAACTACCGTATGATCGAAAAAAAATGGCGTCCAGTTGGCTGGGAAATGACGATCAATGACATTTCCCATATAAATTTACATATAAAATGACAGCGATCTTCATTTCATAGCCATCGTTGACGCCGTTTTTTCTCGATCATACGGTATTTAGTCAACATGTTTAGTTTATGTCAATGATGATATATTTATTGATAATTTCGATTCCAAATATCTCGAGAACCATTACTCGTAGCGATTTTTACCAAGAGACATTTTTTACGTAAAAAACTTCGTGAATGTATATTTTTTTACTCGGTTCTTTTATACAGGTACGGAAGAAAAGTTATTACTCTTCAAACCAGTTAAAAAATATGTAGGTGGCGCCCTCTATAAGTAGGAGTCATATTGACATCAAAATCAAATTTCCCATGTCAAAAAACTCCCAGACACCAATTTTCATCCAAATATTGACGTTGCTTCATAAATTAACCTTCTTACTTATTTTTATCTGAATACAATTCGGAAAACCCTGTATGTATAATTAAGTACTTAATAGAGAAAAGTTGTTCTGTTATTTTTAATGTATTCAGCCTGGGAACACACAAATAATTATTATTTTAATTAAATCTTTTAGAAGCTTCTTTTAAAGATTTAGAATAATCTGTATAATTAATAATCTGACACAATCCTCTTTCCAGATGAACCGATTGACAAAATTAACAAGAAATAATATAAAATAAACATCGCACCAAATTAGAAAAAAATCAAATTTGTCACAAGAAAAGTCAAACATATACCAAACAAAAAGCAATTATGAAATCAAGAAGAAATATTATAGAATAAACATTGTACCAGAGCGCAAATATATACAGGGTGAGTTTCCTACGATCTTCTCTATGGGTAACTCGGAAAGTACTGGAGATAGAGAGTCGGTTAAATGGGGAAAGAATTGCAGTTTTGTGGAGTCATAAATATATGCGCCTTTCAGATTTTTGAAAAAGGTCATGGCTTACTAGATATTTCGAAAAAAACAAATTTCGGCTATTTTAAAAATTGTTTCCATTATTCATTCCATTATAAGCTATTTTAGACAAAAAGTTTTCAGATAAAAGTTAACACATCCTTAATGAGACTGTGTCCTTCGTTTTTTTCTAAAGCTTGTCATTTTTGACATATGAGACAAACATAGTTTTTTTTTTAAATGGAAACCATAGTTGGCCATGACTACATAAAAAGCGCCATTTTTTAAGCTTTTTAGTCATATATAAATTGTAGATAATCACAACCTTAATGAGAGGGTGTCCTCTGTTTTTTTTCTAAAGCCTGTCATTTTTGACATATGACACAAACATGTTTTTTTAAAAGGAAACGATAGTTGGCCATGGCTTCATAAAAAGTGCCATTTTTTAAGCTTTTCAGCGATATAAGCTATAATATGTTTTCTTCAAAAAATTACTGAGTTACAGCCAATTCTTATCATTTTTAAACAATTTCACTTAGTTAACCATGGAAACAAGTTCAATCGCCGTTGCTCTCAGAAATTTGAAGCTGTCACATCCAAACTTAGTAAATTAAAATAAACAAAAATTGTAAATAAGAATGTTTCAAATGAAGAAAAGCGTGTAGGATTATTGGTTCAACTTTTCTTGACCATACATTTTCGAGGATACGTTGACCGGTGAATGTTACGTTTTTTAGAGAACGGTTTTCAAGACATGTTAGAAAAGTTAAATTTGGTTATAGCCAATTCTTACCGCATAAAATACCGCATAAAAAATTCATAAATGGATAGGTCAGGTGATCGAGGAGGCCCATACAATTAGTCCACCTCTTCCTATCCCTGCGTTTGTATAATTATGATATAAATAATTTTTAACATTTCTTTCATTATGGGGGGGGGGTGGTGTGTTATAATGAAAGTCATGTTGGAACCACTCTATTGATGCGCGAGTATCTACATGCCTTTCTTAATTTGAAAAATTCATATTTACAATTTTTGTTTATTTTAATTTAGAAAGTTTGGATGTGACAGCTTCAAATTTCTGAGAGCAACGGCGATTGAACTTGTTTCCATGGTTAACTAAGTGAAATTGTTTAAAAATGATAAGAATTGGCTATAACTCAGTAATTTTTCGAAGAAAAGATATTATAGCTTATATCACTAAAAAGCTTAAAAAAATGGCGCTTTTTATGTAGTCATGGCCAACTATGGTTTCCATTTAAAAAAAACTATGTTTGTGTCATATGTCAAAAATGACAAGCTTTAGAAAAATAAGAAGGACACAGTCTCATTAAGGATGTGTTAACTTTTATCTGAAAACGTTTTGTCGAAAATAGCTTATAATGGAATAAGGGACAATTTTTTATCTCCAGTAGTTTCCGAGATACCCATAGAGAACATCGTAGGAAACTCACGCTGTATGTACCATACGATCGAAAAAAAAACGGCGTCAGCGATGGCTATGAAATGAATATCGCTGTCATTTTATATGTAAAATTATATGGGGATCGTGTCATTTCCAAGCCAAGTGGACGCCGTTTTTTTCGAACATACGGTACTACTTGGGAGTCTTTAGAAGAATTGGTGAATTTGGATATTAATCTTGAAGCATTTTTGTTGTTGAAAACACAGTGATACTGTGTGAACGTAAATTAAGTTAAATTGAGTCGTTTTATTTATAGAAAAACAAGAAATAAAAAGTTGCGTCCTTAGGTCATATTATTACACTGAATCATAGAATATTTTGGCTACGTGTAGGTTTGTAATTTTTTTACACTTCGACCCTGTATTGTAATAATCTGACTAAGCTTTATTTACACCAGATATTTATAAAAATAGATAACAGGTTATATACTGATAAACACTTCATAACTTTACCACCTGTGCAACATTGCAAAAGTCACTAAATCGCTCAAAATTCAGGGAATTACGGGTATTAAATTTAAATTGATTATCCTTCTAATTAATTATGTGTAAATAATTTCATACTTACTATGCTCAGCATCACCCAGCTCTCCTTAAAAGCGCCGCAACATCCGAAGAACGATATAAAGAATATTATGGCCCCCGTCGCAATTAACATATTGGGCAGCGAAAAATATTTGTCATCGAGAAAATAGGAATATTCCGTGTAAACCGTTTTCACCGTAGCTCCCACAGCGAGAATAATAATTCCTGTTATCTGAAATAAAATTTTTCATGTTAGTTTTCATTATTAAAATTTGCGAAAGAGAAATATTTGATTTTACAGTCAGTCCACACGAAAGCAAGAACAATATCCACGTGATCGCTTTCATTGTTAATTAAAAAACAACAAATACCCAACGGTGTTCGACGGTAACTAACTCACGGCAATAATTCGCTACCGTTGCATTTCCTGCTATCTCTCTCACCGGTAAACCCAGGAACAAGGACCAGAATAAAAACAACAGGTATTTTTAACCATCACATAAAAAAAAACTTACCAAAAAGAAGAAATTAAATATAAAAATTAGATATTTTATCGTTGTAGATGTACAGGACAGATTCATTTTTGTTGATGAATGTTATTTAATTAGCACTAGGAACTTGATTTACACTGGAAAAAACTATTTAGGCTTTCGCACTTTCACAAAGTTGAGAAACGAATATTATTTTGCCTCCAACTGTAACAAATTTTTATCGGAGAATACGTATTGCGATAGGCCTAGATAAGAGTTTCCTGATTTAATTCCATGATATACGGACTAGATAATGTATATTATAATCTTTTTTATCAATAGATCTGAAATAATGAAATTAAACGCCTAATTCTTATTCCAATATTTGTTGTAATATGTAACTAGATTTAGAAACGTGTATATCTGGTTGCCCGACATCGAAAAAATATATTTAAATTGAAATAATTGTTAATATTAAAATGCCTATAGCAATATTAAAATAAAAGGAAACCAAAAAAGCCTATACCAGTAACCAATATTAAGTGTAGGATTGTGTTAGCCTGGAATACATTGCGGGTGTACTATTAGAGATGCGTTACTGATTTGTTTTAGTTCGCGCCAATTTAATATACAGGGTGTTCCTTAATGACATGTGGTGGAACAATATGAAAAAAATTAAAAACTAATTTTTTTTCTAAAATCTTCTGTTTTAACTAACTTATATATTTGTTTAGTTTAAAAAAGTGAGTAGAAAATATTTTTTCATTAAAAATACGTCCTTGTCAGAAATAAACACCCATATAACACAACACAATCCTATAGATATCTTGAGGATATCCACCAAGGATATAGTAAATATCTTAGGGATATCCAAAAACCAGAGGAGGATATTTATGGGATATCCAGATGGGACAAAAAAAGTCATCTTCAAGATATCCCTAGGCAAGCCTTTTTCGATTATTTGGGATATTTATAAGATAATCCAAGGACGATGTTGGGAGCATTATAGAATATTTTTAGGACATTATATGAGGATTGTTATTTGACAATACTTACTTCATCCTTAGTTTATAGTAAAAACATTCGCGATTTAGTTTTATTTAGTCACATTTTGACGTTATTCATTGCGGATATTTTTATTAACAGCTCTAAAATATACCTACATATTATGTCAATGAATTTTGCGTCAAAATTTAGAAGTTTATTTGTATGAGTTAAGAGCTTTCAATTTATACTGTACCATCGAAAAAAAAACGGCGTTCAATTGGCTTGAAAATTACGATCGATGACATTCCCCATATAATTTTACATAAAAAATAACAGCACTCTTCATTTCCAAGCCACCTCTGACGCCGTTTTTTTTTGTATCGTACGGTATTATACCAGATTATACTACCCTTTATGGAGTCTAGCAGTTTACATGGAAACTTTTTTAATTTGTCATTTATGCTGAGAAATTAAAATATGAAATAAAACGACTTATACAGGTTGTTACGTATTGCGATAGGCCTAGATAAGAGTTTCCTGATTTAATTCCATGATATACGGACTAGATAATGTATATTATAATCTTTTTTATCAATAGATCTGAAATAATGAAATTAAACGCCTAATTCTTATTCCAATATTTGTTGTAATATGTAACTAGATTTAGAAACGTGTATATCTGGTTGCCTGACAACGAAAAAATATATTTAAATTGAAATAATTGATATTAAAATGCCTATAGCAATATTAAAATAAAAGGAAACCAAAAAAGCCTATACCAGTAACCAATATTAAGTGTGGGATTGTGTTAGCCTGGAATACATTGCGGGTGTACTATTAGAGATGCGTTACTGATTTGTTTTAGTTCGCGCCAATTTAATATACAGGCAGGGCCGGACCAACAGAACAGATCAACACAGAACATAAAATAAATATTAAAATATTCATATAAAATGACAACAAACGAACAACAAAACTATAAGGTTTGCTTATATACCTATAAAGGTTTCTTACGTACTTTTTTGTTGGCAAAATTATCAATTACTTCATCATCTTCATCAATTTCTTCATCGTGATTTAGACGTTCTGTTTCCATAGTGGACCGTAAATAAGTTTTAATACCTTTCAATGCAGAAAACGAGCGTTCAGCAGAACAGTTAGTAATAAAAGTACATGAGAAGATTCTTAATGCTATGAAAGTATTTGGAGTCAACAGGTCTTGAGCGTTGTTTTCATAAATTATTTTAAGAAGCTCTCTAGCAAATGGTTTTGCTGACTTAATGCATTTTACACATTTACGAAAATGTATTAATTCATTAGGTATTGACTCATCTAAATCATTTGGATAACAAGTTATTAAATGTCTGGACTTATCGGTAATGTCGTCAATCCTTAAAGTAGATAAATCACTAAAGAAACCAAATGTTGTTGAAAAGTCATTGTAGGCACTTTTCCTGTAAGAAAAAAAATCAAGGATTAATTTATCAATAATAACATTAAATACATTTATCCTAAAATCGTCCCTAGCGTTAAATAGAGTTTCATTATCACTGGTTACATCAAATTGTCGTTTCCGTTTCACTTTTCTCTGCCGCATTTTCTTTCTCACCGAACAATTCTATGGCCCTTCTTTCATATTCCTCAAATGATTTAGTATTATCTAGATTTCTAATTTCAGAAAAAAATATTTTTCCAATGAGCTATATAAATTTGCAGCAAGTTGTAGATCAATATCCACCATTTGAAGCAGCTTTTTATTGACCGCATCTAATCTATTTAAAACGTCTGTCCAAAATACCGCCATAAAATCCATTTCTAGGCTTTTGAATTGTTTAAGGTGACTATAGAAGCATTTAATCGGGTTTTAGGCTTTTCGGTATCGTCTTCAGAAATTGACTCCAACGTGGATTTTATTTCATTGGAAGACAAAGATAGTGATTGGCAAGCTTCATTTCGTGCAAACCAACGTATTTTTGGATATATTTTTGTACCAATGTATTTATTAAAAATAAACAATAATAATAGTTAAGTAAATAAATATGTAATTGGCTAAGGCTATATTCCAAATATTTTATGAACAAATAAAAGTTAAAAAAAAAGATAAATATTTTGGTATGCTCAAAATTTGCCGCCCCTAAAAATCTGCCGCCCTAGGCCCGGGCCTAGTTGGCCTAGGCCTAAGCCCGGCGCTGTATACAGGGCATTCCTTAATGACATGTGGTGGAACAATATGAAAAAAATTAAAAACTCATTTTTTTTCTAAAATCTTCTGTTTCAACTAACTTATATTTTTGTTTAGTTTAAAAAAGTGAGTAGAAAATATTTTTTCAATTAAAATACATCCTTGTCAGAAATAAACATAAATATTATTATAAAAAAATGAGTCCGAGAAGATTTTAGAAAAAAAAAGAGTTTTTAATTTTTTTCATATTGTTCCACCACTTTAAAAAATTCCTGAGTGTAAAGAAGTATAAAAGACATTTTCTGACGATTTTTAGCGAGTGACATATTTCACAAAGGTTAAAAAATTAACATTTTAATTTTCTTTCGCCCGCTAAAAATCGGCTTTTCGTTTAAGAATCATGATCATATTATTTTTTCATGTCTTATGGTGCGTTTAGACTTGAGCACGCACGAGCTGAGCGTGCGCGCACGGCATTCGCTCGCGCACAGCAGAGTTGTGTTGGCGAAAATAATGGATGACCAAGAAAGATCATATTATTTTTTCATCACGATCATATTTCATTTTTCAATAAAATTGAAAAAACAGTTTTTTTTAAATCTCGAAAACCGTTTGAGTTAAAAAGCTAAAAATTTAGGTAAATTATCTTGATTCAACACCAAATCGATCCCCTGAGTGCGAGTCAAAAAAGCTTCGGGGCAGATTTCCTATAATAATCCGGCTATACCCTTTATATGGGAAATGTTGTTATCGATCGTCATTTCCTAGCCATCTGGACGCCGTTTTTTTCGATCATACGGTATATAATAGTCTAATGATATTCAATTAATAATTATTTTAGGCATTTGAAATAGGTGCTTGATAAAAACAAACTTTTCCATGTACGATGGCTATTTATTAAAATTCATAACCTACGGTAAAATTTATATTACGAATGATATAAAATGCATGAGATCACAATAGATCTTATATAAAAAGAAACCAATAAAATTACATGAGTAACATACGAAGAATTAATGGTGGCGGCTTAAATTTAATCCTTACAAATTATTTTTAACAATTTATTATATCGATATTGAAAGATAAGGGCTAAGGTTACTTTAAAGATATCTTGCTTTGGTTTGGTAAGCATTAGATGTTTTTTAATGCGCTTTTATAGATTCTACAGGGTGAGAGACATATAGAAAACATCTAATGCATTTTGTTTAATACAGATACTTTCAACTAATATGCACAATATGTAAAAAACGTAATAAACCGATATAAAAAAGGATTTTTGATATGATGTCTACATACTCTCATATAATAGGTATGCTTAAATATTACCTAAAAATGACTAGGTACTGTATTATGAAAAAAAAAACATTCAACAACTAATTAAATCTATGTAGTTATATCAGAGCGAATTATACTAATGGTCTAAAGGTTTTAAATAACATAAATTCAACAAGGTATTATATTCATGTCCATTTTCAATATTTCAACAAAATGTTGTAGTTATACAATACTTTCATGTTATTTTTTAGATACACTATACACATTCCATAAACAAACAATATGACTTTGAATTGGAAAAGCATTTGTTTATAAATTGGTTCTGAATTTAGGCAAGATTAGTTAAAACATCAAATAATATATACTTAAGATTATAAAAAATCTACATAAATTCATTCAGACTGATTTGAAGATTTTCATAAACTTCATTAAGCTTGAGAGATTCAATGGTCTTCCAGTTCATCTACCGTATGATCGAAAAAAAACGGCGTCCAGTCGGCTAAAAGGACAGCGATCTTCATTTCTTAGCCATCGCTGACGCCGTTTTTTTTTCCGATCATATTGTACTAACAAATAAACTTGAATTTATTTTTTTCAGTAATGGAAATTTTTGGAAGTAAAAGGTGCTACTAAAAAGTGTGTGTTCAAATTTGTACAACTCAGTAGTTCTTTAACTAATTTGAAGCTTTTAGTTTTTTCCCATAGATGGGCACTAAATTGATGCAGTTAACTCTCTAAATGATATGTAAAATGATGCATGATAGACAGTAATAAAATCAGCAAATTCATTGGTACATAGACATTACAGATATTTTTTTACAATTATATAGATG